TTGTTGTACACATTATTTTTCATTTTTGCAAAGTAGTATTATTGTTTCCAGGAAATACAAGTATATGACAAACAGCAGTTGAGAGATTGACGGATAATTTGGTTGACGTAAAATTCTGGAATACTGACTAGGTAACATATTGTTTTAATTTCTAAAACACGCATCTGCTTATAAGCCTGAATCCTTACTCTATCTTAATAGAGCTTCGTTGCGTTGTCTACTAAATATCATAGATCACGTTACAAACGTTGAAGAGAAATGTGTAACAGCTTTTTGTAAAGGGTGTTATCAAACACGGCTGCTGTACTGCATATTTTGTTGTGCATATTTACAAACATTTAAAATAATATTTCTTTTAAGTCATGCCTATATACATATATACAAGCATATCGCTTAATAATCGTATCAGAAAATGACGTAAATGGCAATTATCAATATTTAAAATGTCTGCTCCCTTTATTTGATTCCACATATTTGTTATAACTTATAAGTGCAAGCTTTTTGTTCTCGATTGGTATTATCGCCGATAACAGCATTATTATATATAGCCTAATGTTATTTAGAATATCAGTTTGTTATTCAGTTAGTTTGTTTGTCTGTCTGTTTGATGGTTTGTTAGCCTAATGCCTTAGACAGTGCGACAGTCAGTGACAGATGAATCTGCATTGGCCGTGCAATCAATACATCAAGTGAAAATCCCCACACCCTGTCAATAATCACACGTACCTATAAATTGTATAATGACATGCATGCCTATCTTATCTGCAAGTTGCCATTTCCGTTCTCGCTGTCTCGCTGTCGGCTATTTGGCACGTGTGTGTTTGTTTTTGTGATTTCTAATTGGAAGAATATTTCTGCAAATTTGTATACGATTCTGGCCCATTGTGCCATATACTATACTTGTATATCTATTCGAATGCTCTCTCTTTCCTCATTTTTAATGAGGCAAACATCACGTGGATGTTGTTGACATGGAAGAGCAAGCAGAGGCTGTCGCCGAAGAGCACAAAATGCGACTCAGTCCGAATGATTCATTTCAATTTAGGCAAATTGTATACAAATATGTATAATACATACACGTACATATGTACGAGTATGTATATTATGAAGAAGGGGCCTGCTGAAGAGAAGCATCAAGTTTGTCGGATTTTAAATTGTTGTTTTATAAAAATATATAATTTTTTTTCTGTTAAATTTATGTGGAGGTCAGCAGAGGCGTTGGCGTGTCTGCTGAACAGTTGTTGAAGCACACTCACACATACTACTTACTATGTATACACACCTATTTCTACTGATTAGTTTTCAAGTGCTTTTGACAAACTTGTGAATGAGTTGCGTGGTCATGACGCTGGGGGCCAAAAACGAGCGCAGAAAACAGAACCACTGGCGTGTGGTGGGGGACTTAAGTTCACTTTCTAAATTTGTGGGCAAACGAACTCACAATCAGTGCCGCCTTTGGCTGTAAAACCGCTTTTATTTATTCATTACACAAACAAATCCATTCATTACAAGTGCGAGATTTTCGCATCGATCTGATCGAACTGAAGCTGAAGAGTTTCCATGACGTCTTATCAAGACAATTTCTAATCAGATAGCAGGCATCTGGGCGTCTATTTTTGGCCAATACATAAAGCATTTGATTAGGATTGTGCTTATGCTTCGCTTAGGCATAGAAAAACAAGTTTCCCTTTTTTTAAATTTGTATTTTGTGTTTGTATTTTTTTTTTATATTTTTTACTGCCACAATTTGCGGGTGATTTTGAATTCATTTAGAACAAGTTTGTATGTTTGGGTGTGAGATTGGTTTCGTGTATCCACGTACAACAGTTGCCAGCCGCCAAGAAACTGAATCGCATGCTAATCTTAAAACCACTTTCGGTTATTTTTCCATTTAAGCGTATGCAGATGTACCTCCTAGACGCCGGTTTTACGAACTTAATATAATTAGCATAAATACTGAAACTTAACTCTTTTAGTTTTTAGTCTCTCGCTTATGTTAGACTTGAGGTCTATGCACAACTGACAATGTTAAAAACAAATGCTATTCAAGGTTTAATGATTTCCGTATTTTAGTTATTGCACCAAAATTTATTGAGAAATTAACGCTGTCAACATTTATTTTCAGTTTTCAAGTTTTTCTCAAATTCCAGCGCCACAGCCAAACAATCAAAATAATCTGCGTATACGTAATATTCGTCACGACAAAAGTCAATGCACGTCAAAATGTGCCCAAGGGATCCATTTGTACATACATATGTACATATACTTGTAGTGACTGTTTCTGCTTGCATTCATACTTGTATGTATGTGTATTGTATTTAAATTTGTGTGCGTCAAGTGCATGCACGTACTATAAATCACAAACAATTGCAGCGATAAGCGGCAGCGGCTAATATAAAATAAAGGTAGCTACATACTAAGGCAGGCAGGCAGGCAGGCAGGCAAGTAAGTGGTAAGGCAGTCAAACAAACAACAAGTGTCATAAAATTAAGAAATGTAGTTCTACGGGTATTTAAACGTACATATGTGCTCAGATTGCGCCTTTGGGATCGCTTTGTAGTTCCCCGGTTTTCTGCTCAGCTCACAACGATATATCTATATCTATACCAGCACTACTCCACTGCATTTTCTCTACAGCATATCAACAATGAAATAGCTATGACTCATGCCTCAGGTACTCTTTAAGTGTACTTTGAATCTCTTTGCCCCTTGCTGTTTCCCTAACATGCAACACACAACACCCCCACTCCAACCCACCCGGCCCTATACCAGTCCATCCCATCCTATCGCCTCTTATCACAATTAATTATAACTGTTTCCTTCGCCAGCTGATTAGAGAGGCATGTGTCAGAAAGAACTAGAACTACTTATTTGTGCAATGAGCGAGAATGGAAAGTTACGAAAGATTACACTGATTAACAAACATTCGAGGTGGAGTGATCCATTAATAACTGATCTTAGCTTGCTCGCGTATTTATTTCTATAAGCAGACATCGTTTTTCATTCAAAAAAAAAAGGCAATCAATTTTTAATTAATTAAAGAACTAAATTCTAGTTCGTACACTTCTTGTATCAATTATAAGTATACACGTATGTATATTTCAAACTATGATTCATTGATAATAATACTTTGCCCCTTTGTGTCCATATCAATACAATTTATTAATAAGAACAAGCTTTAATACAAATTTGATATTCCTAATTATTATACAAGTATTGATACTGATAATTGGCACGCGTAGAATATCAACTTATCGTATAAAATGAAAAGTTATACTTTTTTTTTTAAATGTATCTACATTTAAAAATGGTATAAAAAGTTAAATTTGTTTGCATCAATGTGTTGCTACGTCAAAAACAACCTTGCGTCAAAGTAACCTTGCATGCTACTTCTTGACATTCAGTATTAAATTTTTTTTATATCTTGAGCATTTTTAATTTCAACAGAAATATGTCAATGAAAATAATTGCAAACTACCACAATACACATACATATGTATAGTATTTACTGTCAGGAATTTCATGCGTTAAGAAATAAAACCAGCCAAGAAGTTATCTACTTATGAGCAGGGAACTACACACTATAGATACGGATACGTATCATTAATGTTTGTATTGTTTCACCAACATATGTCGACAGCTTTTGTTTGTCGACATAAAATAAAATAAATATAAAATAAGCATTTTATACTCATGTTACGTTAAGTCATCTACGGTTGCCAATCGGATAAGACAACAAGAATTATACAATTAAGACTTTATAAACAAACAAGATTTTCATAGTAGGCCTCTTTCTTAATCATATCGTTTCTTTTAAATCTAAATCTTATATAATGCGAAAAACTTCGGCTTGTAAAATGTGTAAAGATGATTAAATAATTTGATAAATATCTCAAATTTACTTCTTAACTCGTCGCTACTTTCACCTGAACCGAACCTATACACCCTTCACTGCAGCTTACAATAATTTGATTCCTTTATTTTCATGGATATCTATTAGTATGACAATAAAGTTTATCAAAGGTTTATTAAAAGAAAGGCGACAGGTACAAAAGACAGACAAGAAGAAGTAATTTGCCAAGAAGGGGAATAGTTCATAGGGCTGTACATAGGACCAGCAACGCGGCTATCTTTACAGAGCTTATAAATATATCAGACCTTATAATGAAGGCGCTAAAAGCGATAAAACGTATATAAGACAAACCGAAATAAGTCAACAAGTCACATAACCAGGAATAATAACTTATAGTCAATATCAAGAGATACTTGCACTGCGTTAGCCCACCAAACTCAACAATATTCTATTAAGTTTCAATGTAATAAACAACAAGACATTCATTAATAAGTCATATCGCTTGTTTGACTACTATATCGATGACTATATCAATCTCGATCTCACATGATCCATCTCGATCATATGCCTCCGGGCATAGAGATGTCGTGACTGAAACAAACAGGTGAATATATGAAGATCTAAAGATTCGTTTTTATAGCTAGCCATTTGTTTCCATACAACAATTTATACCCAATTACGAGTCGCAAAAATAACACCAACAAAAGTAATACTCTGGATTGTCAGATGTATTTTAATTATTTTATTCTGACTTCATCATGACTGTACCAATTGGCAGACTGATTCATAATAGTTCAACATTAAAAAAGAACTGAAGAAAAAGAAATCTGAACAAGCGTTTGTTTATGATGTCAGGAAATGTAATGACGTGGCATGCCTGGGACTAGATATGAAAAAAAAATGTTCAAAATCTACATGCCTTTCTTTTGTTCACCAGTCTTACTCTATTGGGGCCTGGCATGGCTCAACGAGCTAGCAGGAATCCCACAATTTGAGTTCGGTTCGAAGAAGCGTGATTAAAAAATCTCAAAGCTATCATAAAATTGAATAATTGTCCAACCTTAGGACAGATTCTAAATAAAGATTCAAGATTAAAAAAAAAAAATAGTCTTTCTATGATAAAGAATTAAAATAGTTGCCAACTCACCTGCATTATGGGATAGGCGATACGTTCTTTACTGAGCCGTTCAATGATCGTCAGCTTGGCCGAATCGGCCATTACACCACCAATGTTTGAGGAGGATAGGACGCGACGCGATGGTGGCACAATTGGCACAAAGTCTCGATTACGTTCCGCAAATGTGCGATCGAAGGAACTGCGACGATCACTGTGCGATCGTCGGTACTGTGTACTACTACTAGAACCGCCGCCGCCGCCGCCACCGCCACCGGAATTTGAATTGTATTGTGTCTTATAGTGGTGGTTGCTGCCCAGGGACTGCGACGCACCCATGTAGGATTTGGATTTACGATACTGTTTGCCCGTAAACAGGGCATAGTGATAGCTGGTGTCGGTGGTGCTGTAGCTGGCGGTGGTGCCATAACTGCTGCCTGCATCGGAGCTCGTTGATGAGGCGGATGAGGGCAGGGTGGAGAGAACGGCTGGTTTCGAGCATTTGGCACAAGGAACGGTAAGTGCAGTGGCATTTAATAGATCGGTTGCAATCACCTGTGATGCGACATTATCAGCAGAGCTAGCTGCCGCTGTTGCAACTACAACAATGTTGCTGTCAGTGCTGCTGTTGCTGTTCCTTTTACTGTTGCTGTTGCTGTTGCTATTACTGCTTTTATTGTTGCTGGTCTGTTGTGTGGTTGCTTGTGGCTTTATCTGCTGGCTCTTATCATTGTGGTTGCTGTTGTTGTTGTTAGCACGTGTTTGTTGTTGTTGTTGCAAGCTGAGCTGTTGCCGTCGTTGCTTTTTCGACTTCTTGTTGCCAGCATTTCGCTGTTGCTCCTGTTGCTGCACTTTATTCTGGCCATTTTTGTTGCGATTTGTATTGTTGTTGTTGTTGTTGTTGCAATATTTGGAATTTGAATTTTTAGTTTTGTTGCTAGCGATACCACCATTAACAAATTCACCAAATTTCAACTGTTTGTTGCTGCTGTTGATGTGTGGCAGGTTTTGTTGCTGCTGCTGCTGCTGTTGCACGTTGCTTGATGCCGTTGTCGCTGTCATCGCATCTGCCCTCTGTTTCTCTACTTTCTGCGACTGTTGCTGCCCACCACCCAGTTTTCCATTTGGTTTATTTACCATTGTCACAAGACCCTCGGCACAAGAACTTTCAATTCGGCACACAAAATTACTCTGGTTCCAGTTGTTCGTTCCAAAATTAATCACACACTAAAATAACACTTTCCAGCTCCGAAAACACTTGCGCCGAAATGGAAATGGAAATGATTTCAATTTGGTTGATTTCGTTATGGCCTGGTAATGGTAATGGTTGCTATTGTTTTTGCCTTTTGCAAATTGTTCTCTGCGCAATTGTTGTGTTTAACTGCTGCGCTCGCTTTTCGTTGTTGTAGTTGTTATTGGTGCACTAAATGAAGCTTTTTCAATTGTTGTTATTGTTGTTGTTTGTCCGCGAATAATTTAGTTTTTGCCACTTTGTTGTCGTTGTTGCTGTTGTTGCTGTTGTTGCTGTTGTCGCGACGCGGCGCGGTTTGTTATTAAATGAGCTTTCGTTGTACCTTTGAAATATTTTTAATCACAAAATTCATTAATTTTGATTTTTCGTTATTCTTATTGTTGTTGTTATTGGTGGTGGTATTTTGCGCTTGTCGAGTTCTCTCGATTGCCGTTTTATTTCGTTTTTTTATTTTTGCTCTTGTTTTCTTGTTATTGTTTTTTGCTACTTTTTATTTCGCACGTTAAACTGCGTCTTTTTGCTCAGGCTTTGATTTTGCTTTGCTTTCTGCAGAATTCACCGGAAAGTTTGCGAAGGAACGGAAGAAAAGAGAAATGAAATACATATGTACATACATAAGTTAATAGTATTTTTTAGTTATTAGCAATTGTTGCTCCTCGTGCGCTCCAATGTGTACTGGTCGCTAACCCTACAAATCTCGTTTGTTTATTTCGTTTTGAATTATTTTTAATACAACCAATATATTTGGCTTTGTACTCGTATTTGGCCAATATGAACATGAACGCGCTGTCAAAAGCGCTCGACGCACGCTCACCGGTTCACAATTGCTCTCAAACTCTCCCCTCTCTAGCCGCACTCTTTATAACACTCTCCTTGGGGGCCGACTGTCTCTCTCTCACTCCCTCTCTCTCTCTCTCTCTCTCTCTCTCTCTACTGAGCGCCCATTTCTACAACGATTTTAGAAATCAGAAATCGTTTTTGTTTTCGGGTTTTGTTTCGGCCTCGTTAGTTTTTATCATTTTGTTTTGTATGAATGTTCATGCATATGTATGTAGAATGTATGTACATATGTACGTACATATGTATGTATGTGGATGTATGAAGGTACTTGTTATTATTTATTTATTTCGTTCTCGATGCGTTTAAAGAAAGGAACAAAAAATCAGCACCTCCAACGTTACTTTCGCTCCCAGAACAACTGCCGATGATGTAATGTTTTTTAAATGCGAATAAATGTATATTGTTTGTGAATGGGAATGTTTTTAAATTGCCCACAATTTTATGTTCAAAAAATGCACATTCTTACATATGTATTTATATACTTGTATATATGTGTGTTTATGCCATTAAAATGTCATTTGGGATACATTTTTAAAAAAAAAATTTTAAATAGTTTTTTTCGGCTATTATTTCAATCTAGAAAATACTCGTACAGTTAATGCTGGCTAGGTATGTAAGTAAAATCTGTGTACAAAAATATAATATTTAATGCCATTAATTTCCTGTTATAATAGATAAGCGCTTAACTGCAGATGTTTACTTTTTATTTGAAAGTTGAGATATTCATACATTTGTGATTATAATTTATAAATAAGAAATATTTTATCAGCAGTTATATTTTTGAAGCTTTGAAGCGTCGCTTATCAAACCGCACTTGACTTTGCGAAATTGTGAATTTTAATTTCTTTTTATAGTTTCAGTTTTTGAGAGGTTCTTATACATAGTTGCTAAGCAAGATCAGATTCTGTTTACCTAACTATTCTCGTATTAGTTTTGATCTGAACGATGAAACCTATTAACGACACGTATATACGTACATATTTATAAATGTACGTTCATATGTATGTATGTAGCTGTGACAAACTGCAATTACTAAAATAATCTCAGAGACTAACTGCGATGAATGGCATAACACACATACAAATACAAATACAAATACATATAGTATGTACATACATTTAATGTACTACATGCAGGCACATCCGCTTATACGTATAGAAATGAATTCACTTATAAAAGTCCCTATTTTAATGAACAATTAGTTCCAGTGTGGGGTGCATAAGATTTGCGATTTAAAAAGCACTGAAGCCGGCAATGTGACGGTTATATAATTAATGCTAAAACGATCTTTTTTATATGTACTCGTATACTATATACATATGTACACAGAATGAGCGAACTAGTTCGATTCCAAGAATTCGAACTTTTAACTGAACTCTTAAAACTGAAATTATTGATACAGTTCATATGTACAAGTATGTACGAACAGACGTAATAAGGTAAATTGAATCTGTATCACAAAAAGAACCCGAACCTACAGGAAATGTCAGAATAGTCCCTGAACGTTATTAACAGAAGCGGAAATGCCGACACACACGGCATTTTATGAGAGTGTGAGAGAGACAGAGTGCTCGGGAAATGTCTTCAAATGCTTGTGAGTTGGGCGCTACTGAGTTCCTGTTAATTATATCTTGTTCAAAAACCCGGCAGCGGGCAAACACATTTTCACTCGAGCACGTAGATGTGGGCACAAACTTACTAACAGAATCTTGTGTACATTTTATTATAGAATATTTACCTGCAATTGGTCAACAGAAATGCAAAAAAAAAAAATGCGTCGGAGCTTCTGTTTAAAAAGCTGGGACCAGGCACGTGTTAAAACCGCAATTGTCACAGAATTTAGATTCGTTGTAGGCCTCTTTCGTTTTGTTTTTGGCACTCTGGCACTTTTCTTTCTTGCACACGTACAAAAAATCAGAGCAGCGCACAAAATTTTACAATACGGAAAACAGCGCCACGGTCACGACGACGACGACGACAACGACAACAACAACAACGTCGACGTTGCCGTATAAACGTCGGTGTGTGAGTGTGCGTATGGGTGTGGGTGTGCGAGGACGAATCTCAAAAACCAACGGTACAGAAGTAATGGACGAACCGATAACGACCAAAGGCTGGAGTCTTTAGGCGGGAAGCGGAATATCCACCTGATCTGATTCAATTTTTTATGATGTCGTTATTATGTGTTGTTGTAGAAGAGATGTGTGAGCGCCACCATATACCCACACACAGCCTATCTGGTTGACTTAAATACTATTGGATTAAAATATATAGAATATAGAAGCCACCACCACCGCAACCGATCAAAATGAGCGGCAATTGTTTTGTGCTGTGGCTCTTCGCTGGTTTTTGGCCGGCACTGTGCTTCTTCTTCTACCCCTTTCTATTTGCTACACCAAAATGGTGGAGGAGAAGGTGGAGGTGGATTGAGCGGGCAGATTGGGGAACAGGCAAACGGTCGACTAGTGTGTGAGTTTGACGATGGTCGTGAACCGCTTGCTGCTGGCAACTATCTGAGCGCGCACACACGATGGGTTAATTTGTATTTGTTGAATATTACGTGAACCAAACCGTGCCGAGTGTAGGCTTATTTTTTACTACTGACAAATAAATATCTAATTGCTAGATTCCAATTATTTTGTCGATGACTCACTTCAGAATTAAGTAAATGTAACCAAACACGCGATCGCTGCCACAACTTCGATTTGACAATTCTCAATTTCACTTTTGTTCGGCGTTAAATTTACGATTGGCTACGCAAGTAACGGTATTGGATGCGAAAAATGTTGCAAACACGGTATTGAAAATTCAATTATGTACGCATATAATATACATATATGTATTTAAATGTTGCGCGTTTTGTTGTCAGTTGTTGTTGTTCTCAACGTTTGTTAACACACACACTTTTCTTTAAAGCTGGATCTTACAATATTCGAACCGTTATGATTTGCAGCACATGTGCAATATCAAGCGAATAAGTCGTTGGTTGTCGTTTGGTCGAAAATCGGCGTACAAGATTGTATAACTTGGGTCTACTTGAGTGTCGAACATGTGACGAGCAACTGATGGCACAGTGGCTAAGCAAAGACGTATGTATAATTCGTGCGGCAGCGGCAGCGACAGCGCCAACGCCATCGTGTAGTTCTACCATAACAAAATACATACATGCATACATACAATACACATACATACATAGAAAAACGAAATAAAAAGTGAGCAGCGCAAAAATTCAGAAATAGCAGCCGACAAAAGCAGCTCTAAACAACAACAAATACATACATACACACCTACATACATACATACATACTACATATGTATGTATTATAATCGCCGCAAAACTCGACAACAATTAGTTGATATGAGATTCAAGTTATCGCGCTCAATTCGCTCATTTGTTGAGAACGCTTAACGGCAACTGAAAATGCTGCCAATTTTCTGAGCAGCTAGTCTGGGTCAGACATCAAGTCTCGCATATGTCAAAAGTTTTCACTTTTAAGCCCAGTTTAAATGTGTGCCAAAAGTCTTGTTGTGCGCGGCGAGCATTGTTCATCCATCTGGCAACGCTGCACGCTCGCAAGAGCGCAAGCTTTTTACACCCTTTACCTGAAAAGCAAAAAGTATCTCCGATTTGTGCAAGTATATGTCACAGACAGCAGGTAACATCTCTGCCCCATGAAGAATATAAATTTCTTATTAGCATGACAAGAAGAATCGATCTAAATATATACATACGTTCGTTTGACTCCCCTTCTGCTTGAACGATTGGATTTCTCGGAAATAGGTGAACCCACACTAGTACATAGTACATATACGCTCCTAGGCCTAAGCGATCACAACACATAAAGTGTATTTTCGGAAAAGTGTATTTAATAGCAGAACTTGATTAACGACAACATTCTCTCGTACTGTACCTAAAGCTTTGTCGCGCCACTAACATTACACCACACTTTGAATTTCATTTGTTATTGTAAAATGCCAGCAACAATTAGCAATTAAACGAAATACGAAATACCGGCCGGCGTGGTAGAGAAAGCTAAAAACGTTTGCTCACTTGTGGCGACCTTGTGGCAGAGAGAATAACAATTTTGATTGAACAGAGAGGCGAAAAAGCTCGGGCTCTCGCACAAATTAAATTAATAATGAAATAGGTGTTGAGCCTCTTCGGCTTCTTAGGTCCATCCATAAATATATCCGCAATTCTTTACTGCCAAATCCTTTAAACTTAAGTTGGTCATGTTAGTAAAACAAAACTGATGCTACATACATACATACATAAATCATTAAAGAAACGCATTAAATTTTCCGTAGTATGTTTTTTTTATTCGTTCAACATTGCTAAGTGAGCGAAAACAAAACGAAAATAACTGCAAAACAAAATGCGATGCGATGCGTAGTAGCCACGCGGCTAAAAGAAAATTTCAATTATTTTGCCAGCTACATACACATACATACATACATACATACTTACATACACACATATGTACATGCTTATGTACATAAATACCCATTGGGAATGGTGTGACATCGGAAAAAAGGGAACTACGTTGCATAAATTGCATAAATAAAGCATAAATGCAAGTGCACGTCAAGTGCAAGTTCCGATTTTAAAAAGAAAATTCTCTGAATTGCATAAGTTTCTTTCACTATTGAAAAGAACGCAATTTCCGTTACAAAACTACAATGTCTAACATGACATGACCATACTCTGAACCATTTGCAGCAGCCGGATGACGTACATAGAGGGCTATGACTAAGGCAAGGGCGCAGGCGAGGGCGCAGGCGACAGCTTTATATGACAGCTATCAGGCAACAGTCGAAAGGTCGCAACACAGGCAATAATATAAACAGTAATTTGTATTTCAAATGCATACACATACTACCTATAATAATGGAATACCTGGGCCATAAAGAAGTGGTATTGACATCAGAATAGAGATGGTGGCATAACATCTCCCTTAGGGCGAACAGAGATGCTTAATGTTCTGTTATTTTCTTCACTTTTGAGTATACAAATAATATGCAAATATCATTGCAAACTGTTATTGTTTTAAATAACTTTAACTGATATTGATATAAAATGAAAACCTTCAATAATGATTATCTTATCTGTACAGTATTCCATACTTTACTTTTTTTATGAAATCAAAGCAAATTATTATTAGAAAAACATTTTCAAGTTTAAAGGTATACCGAAATGCAATTTATCATTTACTTATACATATGTACATTAATAAGTTGTAGTATAGTCTTCAGTTTGGTATCGTTATACCTTCTAACTATCTGAGTTGAATTGGTTCGTATTGGTGGTTTTGCAGATAAGAGTGGAGTACTATACTTCAAATAGCAATTTCTTACATTTTTTTATTTCACATAAAACAACAAAAACAACACAAATATAACTATTTTTGTTAAAGTTATGATGCATGCAATCCTCGGAAATAGAGTGCTCCTAAATATGCGGCGAGACCAGCCAAAAGAGCTCCAGCAAAGGATCGTTTCAGAAACCGATCCTGCCAATTACGATTGGCTATGCACTTGCTATATGGCATACTTGTAAATGAGACGCTATTATAGAGCGGTACCCAGAATATTGGAAAGAGACGAAACAGCAGCGTATCCAGCCATTTACGGCAGCGGAACGACCAACGCTTTGTCAGATCTCGCATCTGTAAGATCGAATTATTAGTAGAGTCGATCAAGACTAGGAATTAAACTGACTTACCTCCACATAATTATACAAGGCCAAATCACATATGGTATGAGCATCCTGCCAGCGCATCTCTGAGAACTGTTCCAGTACCTCTTGTAGCTTAAGCGGCTTATTCAGTAAGGACGTTAGCAGCGTGACATCCTCCATGCCAGCATTCATTCCCTTGAAATGTTTATATACAGCATTAATATTAATCACAAAAATTATCAACAATATTTTAGTACGATCGGCTCTATTGTAACTGTATAAAATAACGAACTTTGTGTCCCTATATATTATCTCTATAATATAGAGTCTATATCATTGATGTTGCCACGCCTCCGTCTACCATTTAAATATAATTAAGCCCTATAGGCTCTAGTCTTTTGGGTATCAAGTATAAAAAAGGATTCAAAATTCAATTAAGAGAAATGTTTAAAAACATAATTGTTTTGTTGTACGCAATTTTTGAAGTAGTTTTCGGTTATTTGTGAAATTCTAGTCTTAAATCTTATACGCTTGTTACTGGGAGTACCTGGCCATAGTAGGGCACCATCGCGTGCGCCGCATCGCCCAGTATCAGCGCCTTGTCGCTGAAATGGTACGGCTGGCACTTAACTGAGAGCAAGTACTGGGGCTTCAACTTGAAAAAGTCCTGAACGAGTCGTTCTTCTCCAATCAATGGAACTGCATCGGCATAGAACTTATTAAAGAATTCCAATAGCTGCTCTGGTGTTTTGATGGCAGCGAAATTCTTAAAAGGCATGAACAAAGTCACCGTAAACGACTTATCCTGATTAGGCAGTGCAATCATCATAAAGGTGTCGCGTGGCCAGATATGCAAATAGTTCGGCGGCATCTGGAACTCTCCAGACTTAGCTGGAATGCAGAGCTCTACGTATCCATGCTCTATATACTGCTGAGAATAATTGAAGCCGGCTGCCTTAACCATGTGCTGCCGCACCTTACTGAAGGCGCCATCGCAGCCAACTATAAGATCGGCGCTAGCCGTGATGTGTTCCTCAGCACTCCGTCTGAAGGAAGTGAGTAGAAAATAATTCAGATTTGTATAGCTGAGAAATGTGTCCTTACCGCTTGAACTGCATAACGCCTTCTCTGATATCGGCTGATGTAAGCTTATGGTTAAAGTGGCAGGATATGTTGGGGAGTTTCTCGCATGCATTTAGCAGCACCTCATTAAGCTGCTTACGACCAACAGAGTAAAGACATTGCTTCGTGCAAGGATCGTAGAGGACAACGCTAGTGCGACCGCGGACATCGTGAAGCATGCGACCTTGCATCGGAATGGCCGTGGCCAAGACCTGCTGCTCCAGACCCACAGCGGCCAGCGCCTTCCGACCCCTTTGCGAAAGAGCCAAATTTATGCTTCGTCCCTGCACCAACTCCGCAGTTCGTATATCCTCGCGATACTCATACAAATGGACCTCGTTGCCCATACGAGCAAAGTTCAAGGCAGCCAAGGAACCAACCTTTGGATTATACAGACATACACGTACATACACACATATATTAAACATAGCAACATTAGTTAGCTTAAGACGAAACAGTTTATTGTTCAGTTAAACTACCTAAATACCAAGTGCGAAGCGAAGGCAAATAAACACTTTGGTATATTTATTTAGGCACAGTTAGGTTTATGCAAACTTGATAAGAGGGATTTAATCGTACTTACCAAACCAGCCCCTATAATGGCCACCTTCATACCCGCGCTCTTGCCATTGGCTTCAGAATTCGTGATGCTCGGTGACATAATTTAAATGGAAAGCACTTTTGATGCTCAAGTTCTAGAGATATCCGGATGCAACTGTCCGTCTAAGCGCCGAACGCAGAATGAGAGTAGTTATGGATGTCTTCTTGTATTATGCTGATATTTAGACTGGTTTGTCTTGTTACCAAATATTAAAGTGAGCGTTCCATACAGTGCATGCCACTGTTGTGGGAAGCTCTACAAATGTTAGCAGTCAACCGCACTACAGATAAGTAGGACACATTTTCACTTTCTATTCGTATTTATTTGCCATTAAAAACGCAGTGGCATTCATCAAAAAACAAATTATTTCGTCAACACAATAAATGCACATCTACTAAAGGTTTTACGAAGTTTCGATTTCTTAGTGCGTACTGTCGTGGATTAACAAAGATAGTTGCTTCATAATTTACAGATAATGTTGCTGTGTTTCTTAATCATTTTTATACGTCAATTACAAACAATCTGATTGTTTAACTTGCTACCCAATAAGCTATCTTTGTTTGATTTGAAAAGCACACGTACGCGCCAAATGGACAGTGGCAACGCTAGTGCGCTAGCAGCCACAAGGGCCTCAAAGATGAGATGTAGCGATGAGCAATATAATATTTTTCGAGTCACGTAAGTGATTATGACTCTCTTATTTATTTACAATTGCTTTATATTATACATTTGAAATTTAAAAACATTTTAATTGTGGTAAGTTTATTCAACATTCTACTAATGTTCAAATTGAGGTGTTGATTTTGATATTAATCACAGGAGTTTTGTTGTCGTTCTATTGCTGGCGACAAAGTCACAGGTAAATACACACTGCTCATCCCTAAGTACACGTTGGTTACATCCCTAGCCCAATTGTGCTCATTTTTTTACGTTTGGTCTTAAAGAAAGTAGAAAATCAATAAGTTTAAGCAATAAACTGGTCTAAATATTTACAAAATCATAGCTAGCATGCACATAAAAGCAACAGCAACTGCAACATAAAGCCAAAAACCCCATAAGAGAAGTGCAAGTACCTTGTTGTAAGGCGATAGGAAGGAGAAGCAGAGCGAATCTTTTACTGTATTCAGACTACATTTTTAGCACCAAGGAAAACCACAAAAGGCAAAACAAAATGGTAATTAAATGCGTGCAAAAATAGATCGTCTGAACGCATAACGCTTATTTATATATATTGCTTGTAATATGTTTATAGCAAGCTATCAAAAGAAAATTCAGTACCAATTTGTGCGTAATGCGTTTTAAAGGCAATTTTATGTGCGCTGCTCTAGCTCGTTTCAACGGCGGATGGTGGGGGCAGTCACGCGAAAAGTTGCAATTCAAGAGCCCCACCTGCTGCTGGCTTGCACGCATCGCACAAGGGTTTCCTTTAAACGCATATTTTACAGTCAAACCATTTAACCATTTCTGCTCTTTTTCAGGGAAACGAAACGTCGCTGCCAATGGAAATGTGCTCCAATTGTAAGTAAATTTTGAGCCAATGCCATTTGGTTGAAAATCAGCTGTGAAGGCAAATATTTTATTAAACAGACCTTTTGTCAGAATTCGTAATCTATATCCTTAAGCTAACGAGAAATATTTCCACCATTTCATTTGCTAGTGGCTTCTACTATATTTTCATTTTTTTTAATGTGCGCCATAAACAGTTTCCTTTAAAAAGTTATTAGAAAAAATGTCATTAAAAATATGTTTGTCAGCAGCTTGCATCACTTATTATTCACTATTGAAAATATAAGGGGTAGGAATTGCATTTGCAATATTAAAAATATTTGTCTATTTCCTAATTAGCTCGACATATGCACAATATAGTGCGGTTTGCATTTTGTTTTGTCACTGTTCAGCAGACGCTTTGTCTAATACTTAATATAATGTCTTTGCTACAGTCGTTTTAACAATCTGTCCTATTGATGTGCTGAAATGTGTTTGAAGAAAAATCTCGGCTAAAAATAAAACAGTCACCTATTCTATAAACACACAAAAGCACACACTCACACGTGCACGCAAACAGACAATGCCGCACATTTCGAGCATGTTAATTTCGTGAATAATTAGCCATTTAGATAATTTCTAAATACTTGTTATTGATTACTTCGGAAGTTACAAGCTACATTAAAGCCACTCTTTTAACTTTGAACAGTCGATGCCGATGAAATACGTCGTCTGGGCAAACGTTTCCGCAAGTTGGATTTGGACAACTCTGGCGCACTGAGCGTGGATGAGTTTATGTCTTTGCCGGAATTGCAGCAGAATCCCCTCGTTCAACGTGTCATTGATATTTTCGATGCGGACGGTAATGGTGAAGTAGACTTCAAGGAATTCATTCAAGGCGTCTCACAGTTTAGTGTCAAAGGCGACAAATTATCAAAGCTGCGCTTCGCTTTTCGCATCTATGATATGGATAATGACGGCTATATATCCAATGGCGAGCTGTTTCAGGTGCATATCTATTTGAAGATATAATATAACAACAACTAACCATGTCGCCAAATATTGCTTTCAGGTTTTAAAGATGATGGTTGGCAATAATCTTAAGGATACCCAATTACAACAAATTGTTGATAAGACAATCGGTTTCGCGGACAAAGATGAGGATGGCAAAATCTCTTTCGATGAATTTTGCTCGGTTGTTGGAAACACGGATATACACAAGAAAATGGTTGTTGATGTTTAAAATAAATAGGTATAAAATGTAATTTTTATATGCATATTTTTTCAGTAGATACTATTTATTATGAATGCTTTGTTTATTGGTTTTCATTTTGTTGAAATATTTTTTTGTTCAGAACTTTCTAGTTACATTTTGTTATAAGCTGTACGAGTCAACATCAAAAACTTTTCACAGCTACTAGTGAACTAATGCGGAATGGTTTTAATTGCTGATTTTGCAAAACTCACTCAAACATGAATATCACTTTTTCTAAAAGAAAGCAAAAAACAATTTTCAAAAAGTTGTAATCTTAAGTCGTGAAGTGAAACATGATTTATACATACATATTTACATGATAGGCAAAGTGAAATGAAGTTATGCGCCTCCTACGTACTTCTTAAATATATAAAATATATATATAGTCATAATTTATTATACAAAAATATACTATATATATAAATATACTTATAAAAATACATTAAATTACAAAATTATTTATAACCTAAACAAACACGCACACATTTTGTGCTTCGAAATTAATAATATATCGAATTGAATATACATTGATATTAGCCAATGAAAATTTTGAAGCATTCAATTTTTAAATAAGCATTAAAAACAATTGCCGCAACACAAATTCGTTCAGCACGCTGTTGGCTAACTTTTTTATTAGCCCCAAGCGGTAGGGGCCGTGTTCATGAATTAAAGCTTTAAATATAACTATAGTGTACTTACATGTGTGTGTCTGTATTTGAATGTCTCGTATTATTTATACATACATAGGTATATTTCATTGATTTTGTTATTCTTTTTCAAATTCTCCTGTGATTTTGCCAAATTAATAACAACAACTCATCAAATCTTCGCGCAAAACTATATTTTATTGTCACAAGTGTGCATTAAAAACTCCGCTATGAACTAAGTCTAATTTTTAATATGTGTACTTTTTATACATTTAATGAACTATACAAAGATATTTTTTATATAATTGCTACTAACAACAAATAAGTACTACAAATTGTGCTGTAACCTAATTTTACTAACTTCAAGTCCAACTAACAAGTTGTTGTTAACTATCAATATTGGAGACGAAACAAAGCTTGCCAATATGGTCGCAAAATAACAATTGGCTCTATAACTATTATTTCAATATTTACACATATACTATACTATATATATGAAAGTTTTATGGGAAATACATACATACATACATACATTATTAACTTTAACTACAAGTACGAGTATATATGGCAAAGCAAGTTAACTCAATAAATACAAGTATATATGTACATAAGTACTCACATATGTATACATATGTATGTATTTGAAATAATTATACATATGAAACCCAATTTTTTACTGACAACTCGGTAGCTAAAAACATTGCATGTTCAAATTTTTCATTAAAAAAAAACTGTTGCACAATCGCTACTCAACTGATAGCTAACAAATGTAAGTTTAAACAATTAAATAAATTACAATAATAAATTTAACAATATGCGTCATCTATTAATGGGAGAGAAGGCTCATTTCGGTCAGGTGGTAGGCCAGTCGCGACAGCAGTGGATCTTGGAATCAATCGAGGCAATAATAAATGTATTTAAAATTCTACAGAAGGTACTATTATTATTTTGGAATATTGTTCGTAATGATATAAGTATATAAATATACTTGTATGTATATTAGCAAAGTGCGAAGACAGTAAGTTTTGTGTCAACAGCATATTCCCGGTTTTCTACATTCACAGTAAATGGCATATATTCACTGCTATTGAACGTTTTAGATCAGAGATTTTATCCAATCTTCTACATATTTCTGTTAAAGTTTTAATTTTATTATTGCGCGAGTCGTTTCAGAAGTTTTAAATGTTATGTTTATTAGTTTTAAGCATTCTTTGAAAAGATTGACACGTATGTATGTAAGCATGAACATTAATTTATCTAAACTTATTTTCAGTTATTCTTTCAACATAAATTCATTACAATTTCACTATTAAAAGGATTTCAGATATGCAGAAACATCGTTACTTACAAACATTTTGTTTTCGACAATGCGCTCAAATAGCCGTCATGGAATGAATATTCAACATACCTGCCACGTCATCTAGTAATACCATTAAAATTAATATATCTTGACCTTTGATCCTTTTAATAACACCTTTGATAACTTTTAATCGAGAGTCTTTTTTCAAAATTCCACTTTTATGAAATCCAATTCACTAACGTGTACAATAGGCAAGCAGTGTTTTTCTGGTAATCGTTTTATTAAGGAACGTAAATCCATATAATAAGATGTTAATATTGGTTTTGGGGCTAAAATCATAGACTCATCGTGAAAATCTTGATACTAAGAATTGGTAAAATAATATTTTAATAACTAATGATTTAATGTGGAAAACTTGGAAAAAAGTTATAAAATATGTCATATTTTTACAACGAAATTTTGAAACATAATTTGTCATTATTAAAATCGGGGACAACTATACTTACTAGCTACAACTGTCCAGCTGAAGGATTTTAAAAAATATATTCACCGAACTCGGTTGCAAGTTCTCCCAAATCGAATGTTTCTAAAGAAAGATGTTAAGATGAATGTCGTGCAAAGCAGTTCTTCTTGTTGCTGTTTGTATGACGTGTATACTAAGCAAGCAGTGTAAAGCAGTTATCATACATTGAAGTGTCAGTTTTTCTTGTTATACCCTGTACTCGTAGGGTAAAAAGGGTATATTAGGTTTGTGCAAAGTATGTAACATACAGAAGGAAGCATCTCCGACCCCATAAAGTATATATAATCTTGATCAGCATGACGAGAGAAATCGATCTAGACATGTCCGTCCGTCTGGATGAACGCGAGGATCTCAGAAACTATAAAAGCTAGAATAACCAAAGTTGGCATCCAGATTCTCCTAGGTCCGAGTAAGGACGAGTTTATTTTATTTTTTGAAATTTTCCCCCGCTACAGAATTTCGTCAATAGCGTCCACATTTCAAATGGTACATTAACCAAACTTTGCACACATAATTTATATATACTGTTGTTTAAAATTTTATCCAATTCGGTCAATTCTGTGAAAAGTTATTAGCGAAACAAATTCTCCCCAGTACAACCTCCCCAAACTGCAGCAACAAGTTCGTTCTTCTTCTTCCTCTTTTTGCTGCTGCTATGGGCGCATATAACTCAGTGACGGAAGTTCACCTGGGTACAGGGTATTACACTGTCGGGCTTGCTCGACTGTAGCGTTCTCTCTTGTTTTTCTTGTAAGTCATTTGTTATTAATAAATTGTATAATGTATTAAGTGCTAATGTTAGATACTTCTCCTAAAAACAATTTACCGACTATTTATTGATAAATTGAAATTTGAATACAATTTTGTGATCAATAATTTATTAAATTCAAATACAATAATAACAATACCCACGTATATAGTTATTGGTTTTGTGTCTTTGCGGAAACAACAATAGAGTCTGGGCAGAGATCTTTATGCTTAAGTTGATCCATCTTGCTATGAGGAATAATAGATTGATTGATTCAGAGTGAAAAAACCTCCGGCTTAGGAGAATGTGAATTCACTGTCTAAACATATGTGTAGTTAAGCTTGAACACTTCTGCAATTCCAACATTATTATTAAATAAATACCTGTACAAGGATATTGTTATATTTATAGCATACTCTGTGGAGTGTTACATTATATTCTAAGCCATCTGATAAACCTTTGCGTGCAGGGTATAATTGGGTAATTATCTTTAAAATTTTATATTTTCAAGAGCTTATCTCAGTGCCTAATGACAGCAACTGCAATGACTCGCCTTCGTTTATACTAGCAGCACATTTATTAGCATAATGTTACAATAAAAACTGTAAACAAAGATAGGTTCATTTCCGTACATGGAGAGTTCAAAATCGTAGACTTGCAAAAATGAACAACGTTGCGTTAGTTGTTTTGATTTGCTCATAGGTAAATGAAGTTTTAAAAATGTGTGAGAAGTTGTCAACAAATAGTGGGGTTATTTCATCAGGCGTGATATCTATTGGCTTAGTGATTGCTTTTTTAGTCTGCCAGGATGATCTGTTCTACTGTCAGTACAAATTTAATTTTTATAATAAATACTTATAATAAACCAATTTCTATTTTAAGCATTTCAAGGAGATTTTTTCGATCGCCTACAAGCCGCACAAATATTAACAAGCGTTTTACTCATTATCGGCGTTGTTAAGGTTTGAATTTAAACTATATTATATTCATACATCACTCACATCACAATATAACCTTGGCCTATATACATATGTATATTCATTATGCCAATTGTATTACGTAATAAGTAGAAAGGCTCATTACCTAATGGCTTTGGAAAAAATCTAGAAATTTCAACTTTATTAACTTTATTTCTCCTTTTAAAATAGATTGTGTCTGATTCTTTTTTGTAAAATATTTTTTTTTGTACCATCAATTTTATCAAAGTATTTTTCGGTTGAGTTTTAAGCGCATTTTCGTGTTTATTCAATAAACCAGAATATTCATATTACAGGGAAAATACAAATTTTATATACCATGGATGATAAGCACCTTGCTCTTGGCTTATGGATTACTATACAATACTGTTGTGATTCGCTTTGAAGAAATGGTCTACCGGATCATATATATTTTAATTGGTGGTATTTATCATTTGACTTCATTGATGAACCTAGAGGCTTTAGTATAATAACTATATTGCTTTACAGGTTATCTGATTTGTGCTCTTAATGGTGCCTATAACTCATTTGAAGAAATGCGTAATGCCAACCAACCAAATGCTGTGGTTGAATCGGAAAAACTGCCGACATACCGTCCCCCGGACGAAAAGGCATATACAATTGATATATGAAAAAATAATCGAACCAAGCTCTTAGCAGCATCTAAAAATTATTAATATTCGTACACATAAACATGCAAAAATATTTTAAACAAACCCTGCATACTATGATCTAGGTGAAAGGCATTAATAATATACGTATATGTATATATGTGTATAAATGTTACTTCTTAATAAATATTTCGTATTGTTTCCAAATCATATACTTGTATTACTATCAGCAAATTATTAATCCTTATCTGGTATCAGTTACTGATAGCAAATGTATGAGTACGCCTTGGTCCACTGTTTTTTTTGCGACTGCAACTAGTCGTTTCAATTTGATTCATTCGTTCAGACCTTGTTTCCATAGAATGCTACGAAAAGTTCAGACAAAAGAAGGTATCATTACCTGTGGCGTGGCCTCAATTGTTTGCTCAATTGTGTTTATTTCCTTACAAGATGGCTTGTTTTACAGTACGTACTAAATAAGCATCTAATGCTTTTAATGCGACTTAGAATTTTGTATTTAAAGCTGATGGCGGTGACCTGGTTTATCATATTTCTGCAATAGAAATAATCGGAGGAATTGTACTAATTGTTGGCGCTGTAAAGGTTTGCATGATCGATTTAACTAATGTTTTCAATATATACAAAAATCATTTATACAGGATAAATACAAGTTATACTTTCCATGGCTTATAACGACTGCAGTTTTTATCTATGGGCTAATATACGCTGGTATATATACGGCAACATCTATATATGATTTTGGTGAGAATATGATCTGCTGGAGTGTATTGATTTTATTCTCGGGTATGTACTATATAATTTTATTTTGTACCCTAAAAATCTTGTAATATGGCTTTGTACTTTTTGTAGCATTTCTGGGCTTAGCCATGTATGCAGTTTATATTGTATATGAACAAAAGCGATTAGCTAATCAACCAGCCTTTAATCAGTCGGATGCACCACCAGTATACAGCCCAACAAGTGAGAAAACTTGGCATATTAATATATAAAAAGTGTAAATGATTACGAATTTATAGCAATAATAAAAAGCTTTTTAATCACTACATTTACCTGATACATAATCTATAAACATAGATACTTATGTATGTATGTGTAACCCCATTCGAACGCGTCATGTTATCATTTTTAAATTAGCGGCAAGTGCTGCCCATTCATTTAAGAAGTGATAACCAGTACTTTGCGTTGAGTGCTGCCACTCCACAAACACATAGTGCTTCCAATATACCTGAAATTAGACCGCGCTTTAATTTCACAAGAGGTAAACAAAACTGAACCTGGACAAAATTAAAGGCTGCATTAAATAAAAGGTGTATAGAATGTCTGAAAGTTCCGCCATTTTCTCTATACGCTTAGTTATAGCAGATTTTTATATGGAGAAGCCGATATTTGGCCTAGATCCTTGTTACTCCGAACTACGCGGCAAAGAAATTAAGCGCGTAAGTACTAAACAAATTTGTAGAGCCGTCAATAATCTTGGATATGATGGATTTTGTAGGTGCCTATTGTACGCGTGTTTGGCGCCAATGCTGATGGCCAAAAAACTTGCATGCACGTGCACGGTGTATTTCCATATCTCTACATACCGTACGATAAAAAGGATTTTGAGTCTTTGGAACGTGGTATATTACAAATAGCTATCCAATTAGATAAAGCAATCAACATTTCCCTGGGGCAGGGAAGCTCAAATGCGCAGCATGTTTTTAAAATACAACTAGTGAAGGGCGTGTGAGTAACATTGAGAATTAGAATAGCTAAACAATTGCATATTTCGATCAATTCCTAGTCCCTTCTATGGCTACCATCGTACCGAGCATCAGTTTCTTAAAATCTACATGTTTAATCCGCGATTTGTGCGACGTGCCGCCAATCTGCTTCAAAGTGGAGCCATTCTCAGCAAGAACTTCAATCCTCACGAGTCGCACGTTCCTTACATATTGCAGTTCATGATCGATTACAATCTGTACGGCATGAGTTATCTGCATGTGCCGGTAGAGGTTGCCAAATTTCGGCGCACTAGCGATGACGAAAGTAAGTAAAATTTAATTAATAAGCCCGTAACTGAAAAAATTTCCTTTCAGCTGTGCCATACCCGAAAATTAACCCTCAGCAGTTGCTAGACCCATCGAGAGTCAAGAAAGTGGCCTGCAGCGCGTTGGAATTGGATATTAATGCGAACTTTATACTCAATCGATTCCAAATAGTTACCAATAGCAATACAAAGCACACAAATCCAGGTATTGAAGCTATTTGGATGGATGAGCACGTGCGTCGCCAAAAGTTAGCTCAAACCTATGTTGGGGATCCGGAGAAACTCAATGGGGTCAGTGAAAGCCTGTTAATAACAACAAACCATATTTTAATCCACGTATCGTACAGCTCCCACCTCTAGAGTTGCCGCCAACACAACCGCGCACCCTTGTAGAACCGGCTGAGAGTGACATTTTCTATCGTACAGCGCTGCAGAGTAAGCTTTTGGCCTTGGAACAATCAGTAACATCGGGCAGCGGTCCTCAAACATCTGACCTTACCTTGGACAGCACCATACAAGCACAGGTCAGCAATCTTACCCTACATACATCCCTGCCAATTCAGAACGCCAGTGCCAAGGAGCAAAGACGTACATTTAATTTGCAAAAGCTATTGGCAAATTCCGTTTATCCAGAGGAATGCACACAAGCACAAAAGCAACTTGTTAATGCTTCGTTCATTCAAAATCATGTCTCAAATAGCAGCAACAGCAGCATACTCAGCATTTCGCATGCCCAGAACGATGATACAGCCTATCTTGATGACACCCTTGTGGACGAAGAGCTGGAACAATTAAAATCTCCAGTGTCGGTGCCGCTTGATTCTACCTGTGGGTAACACTCTCAATGCTAAAGGGCTCATCTAAACACATTTACTTTGACAGTTAGCGCGCAGGACTTGCAGCTATTGGATGCGCTCCAGCAACTAGAGGAGGAGAATGCAAATGAGCCGCACATTGACTTGGATAGTTCGTTGGCGCCGTTGACGCAAACCCACAAAAACTGTACGTGCCACGTCGGTAATTTATATTTTATCTAGCTAGGTTGCATTGTGTTATTCCAGTTGAGCTAACGCCTGAGCTGCTGGACAAGCAAATTGTGGAAGTTGCTGGAAACAAACCGCATTCAGACGCAAGTAGCGATAGCGAAGAGGAGACTGCTGCAGGAAATTTGCACGATTTTTCAACGGCGTTAGATGATATAGATGAGTTATTGCTAAAGCTAACACAGAGTCAACAATCCAGTCAGCACCAGAAGCAACAAAAATCAGATGAAATGCCGCAAATGGATGGCGCCGATGATTTGCTGCAACGCACACCCAAAAAGAAGATTGCAACTAAACAAAAAACACCACCACATACGCCCATTACACCCAAAGGCCACAACAACTTGCAGTCACCACGAACGCCAAAATCTAGTGCCGCTAAAAAATATGCTGCATTGCCACTTATATTTACAAGCAAGTCGGCGCAGAGTAAGCTAGAGACGCTAAGGACCAAAAACAATATTTTATCTTTCCCACTTTATTATAGAGAACGAACTTAATGGCGTGTCAGCCCCACGAATGCCTAACACCCGACTCAGTCTGCAGTTAGATGCCGATTCGCAGTCAAAAAGGTAATTGGGATCCAAAGAAACAACAAATAACGTTTTCATTTTACAAAATTGATTTCAGTTCAAAATGTTCACTGCGAAAAAAGCTGGCTATAAGCGAATTGCGCCGAAAGAGTGTCGAAGAGTTAGACAGTGCGCGTCAGGAAAATGAAAAGTAGTTATCAATTTTTAAATAACATCTTTCCACACCCATTAAGACATTTATGATCTCCATACAGAACACCAATACGTCGCAGCACCAGAGTGCGAAATTTGGATAAAACTCACATCACCTGCTCGCTAACACCGCGTAATAAGAACCCGCGCATTTCTGACGTTTTCCTGACTGTGGGAACATCATCGTCTTTAGAGTCAATTGACGAATGCATTAATCCATCAGAGGTAGGGCCTCGTCGCAGCGCTCGAAACCGTTCTAAACACAAGGAAAAAAACGTTAATATGAGCAGTCAAGCAACTGCAAAGTGTGTTATCGCTGAAAATTCGATTCCAGCATCCGTTCTTAACTCCGCAGAGGACGCTGAGGTAGTAAGCACCCACATCAGCGAGGATGAAGCCATTGTATCCGATACAGAGAGCGACGTTTCAACAGTTAAGCTGCGCAAGACGCCAAACTTAAGACGTTTACGGCGTAGCTTTCGTGAAACGCTGCTTGCTAAATGTCAAGCTGCTTCATCACCCACTGTCCTCACAGAAGCATCACCGCATTTTCCGGTTGAGAAAGAACAAGCACGTACTTCAAACTCTAATCACATGGAACCATGCACCCCTACAGCCAAAAACTCAGCCTGCACACCCGATCTTAGCCCAACCAGCGAAGAAGGGAACGCAACACCCTCACTTATGACAAGTTTCTATGAGCACTCAATTCTTATTAACAGTCCATCGGTCTTTAGCGACGATTTGGGCAGTCCTCGGCCTCAGTCCCAACCTATTGAGTCCAAATCCGAGTGTAGCTCTGCACTTCCCAAGTTAAGTGATGGCAGCTCAACGACTTCCGCATCTACGGGTGCATTCGTTATCACCCCACTGGAGCTGCCACCGTCATTTAAGGAAGTGCTCCAAGGCTGTCGCAAGTTAGGCATACACGAATATGAGTTTCAGCAACCATTTTATAGCAATCCCGTTGACATAAGCAAAATGAAGGAAGTGGGATTTCTGGTGCTGCAAATAGCTGGTAATAAGCTCAATGATTGCGAACATTTCCAGAGCGTTGTATCCAACGGGTTGGACGCATGGCGCCGGAAACAGCTAATAAATATAGCCGGTCCAACGATGCTGCAACATTTTCGGAACGAGCAACGCGTATGCGAGTATTTTAGCAGCTCTCAAAAAACCACCATTGAACCGGTACAAAATGCGCCTAGCAGGCAGGATGCCAAAGTTTGGCTAAAGGCGAAAGAACTCCTAAAGCACAAGGGCGAACAGATAGAGACGCAGCAACAGCGAGACAGTAACAATGATTTGGATAGTCCGATCAAAATTAAACGACAAAAGGTTACCATGATGCTAAATCCTGATGGTAATGGGGATGGCGCAGGCAGTGGTGATGAAGATCTGAACTGTAGCGGACTAACCCTGACGCCCATGACTCCAGGTACTCCACATCTATTAAATAACAAACTGAACGATACCTGCACCCCAGTATCTAGCAGGGAACATTTGAGACCACGCCAGCGGCGCTCCAGACGCGTAGCTAACAAATTGAGTTTCAAGGCACAGGACAAGCAGCTGCAGACCGAACATGCAGAGGAATTGCCGGGCAGTAGCCAGAATAGCGTGAAATCCAGTCAATCGCTTTCCAGCGAACAGAGCGCAACTAGCAGTGCAGCGTTGGCTGAACTGGAACGCAGCTCCTTTGCCCGCCAAGTGCAAAGTTCCGGGGAAGGCGGCCTGAACATGCACGAGCTCAGCTTCGGTCTCAGCCACGCTACCTTGAATAACACATTTGGCTTCAAAGTCAACCTGGAGAATTTGCAACAAGCCAAGGCGGATATTGAGGTAAATTTGTGTAGGTGGACTGCTCCTTATGGTCATATATCTTGTATTCTATATATTTCTTTTCCACTTTTTTATCAGTGCAACTATTTAACCACCATAACCCTGGAGCTGTTTGTGCCTACGCGTGCGGATTTAATGCCGGATCCGCAGAGGGATGAAATACGTTGTCTATTCTATGCCATTGACCATAGCATGCCGTTGACATCGGAGACATCCATACAGAAGCTGCCCAACAAGGCTTGTGGCTACATTATAGTCAACGATGCGAGCGATATAATCAGTGAGGGTTATATACATGGCATCGATGCGGACATTGAACTGCAAGTTGTGGGCAATGAGTCAGAAGCCTTTGAGGCGTTACTCGCTCTCTGCGCACGCTGGGATGCTGACATATATGCGGGCTACGAAATCGAAATGGGTTCCTGGGGTTATGTTATAGAACGCGCCAAGTATTTGTGCTTCAATATTGCGCCACTCCTATCGCGAGTGCCAACGCAAAAGGTGCGAGATTTCGTAGACGAAGATCGGGAGCAGTTTACCGACTTGGATGTGGAGGTAAAGCGATTAACTCCCACAATACCTAAAAGTGGTTATTAAGGATATATTCTATGTGTAGATGAAAATCTGTGGTCGCATATTGTTAGATGTGTGGCGACTAATGCGCTCTGAGATTGCGCTGACCTCGTACAGCTTTGAGAACGTCATGTATCATATTTTGCACAAACGTTGTCCCTGGCACAGTCACCAGAGTCTGACGAACTGGTTTGCCTCATCCTGCACCCGATGGATTGTTATTGAGTATTATTTGGAGCGTGTGCGCGGCACTCTGGCGCTCCTTGACCAGCTGGACCTGCTCGGACGGACCAGCGAAATGGCCAAGCTTATTGGCATACAGTTCTATGAGGTGCTATCGCGTGGCTCACAGTTTCGGGTGGAGAGCATGATGCTACGGTAAGTTGAACCGGGCCCTTCAAGCTACTTGTGATATACTAATACTAAGGTATTTCCCCCAGTATTGCCAAGCCCAAGAATCTGGTTCCGCTTTCTCCGAGTGTACAGCAGCGAGCGCATATGCGCGCCCCGGAATATCTAGCTCTGATAATGGAGCCTCAATCACGTTTCTATGCTGATCCCGTGATTGTGCTGGACTTTCAGAGCTTGTACCCGAGCATGATAATTGCCTACAACTATTGCTTCTCCACTTGTCTCGGTCGTGTGGAGCATTTGGGCAGGTTTGTGCTGTGCTATTAACAAAAAACATTCTTCACTATTAACCGTATCCGTCATAGCTCTACGCCCTTTGAGTTTGGTGCATCGCAACTGCGTGTCTCGCGCCAAATGCTGGATAAGCTATTGGAACGGGATCTGGTCACAGTCTCGCCTTGCGGGGTCGTCTTTGTGAAGGCTAGTGTGCGGGAAGGTATCTTGCCGCGTATGCTCAGTGAAATTCTGGACACACGTCAGATGGTGAAGCAGTCGATGAAGCTCCACAAGCAGAACACGGCACTTCAGCGTATCCTGCACTCGCGCCAACTGGGTCTCAAGTTGATGGCCAATGTAACGTATGGGTATACGGCGGCAAACTTTAGTGGACGCATGCCAGCCGTCGAAGTAGGCGACTCGGTGGTGGCCAAAGGACGAGAAACGCTGGAGCGTGCCATCAAGCTGGTTGACGCCAATGACAAATGGAATGTACGTGTTGTTTATGGCGACACAGACTCCATGTTTGTCCATGTCCCTGGACGTAATCGTGCGAAAGCCTTCGAAATTGGCGCAGAAATCGCCGAGGCAGTCACCAACATGAATCCTCAGCCGGTGAAATTGAAGCTGGAGAAAGTCTATCAACCATGCATTCTACAAACGAAGAAACGCTATGTCGGCTATATGTACGAGACACCCGACCAAACGGAACCTGTCTACGAGGCCAAAGGCATTGAAACGGTGAGGAGGGACGGCTGCCCAGCGGTGGCCAAAATGTTAGAGAAAGTGCTGCGCATACTTTTCGAGACGGCCGATGTGAGCAAGGTGAAGCAGTATGTTTGTCGGCAATTTACCAAATTGCTCTCAGGTCGCGCCAATCTGCAGGATCTGATATTTGCCAAGGAGTTTCGTGGCCTGAACGGCTACAAGCCAACAGCCTGTGTGCCGGCCTTGGAAATGACCCGGTAAGTTTGTCGCTAAATTATAATTAGCTGGGCTCTTGTAATAAAAAAGATTGTTTGCCAGGAAGTGGATGCAAAATGATCCCAGGCGCATTCCCCGACGCGGTGAGCGCGTACCCTTCATAATTATCAATGGACCCCCGGGCGTTCCACTAATACGCCTCGTACGTAATCCGCATGAGCTGCTGGCCAACGAGGGCTACAAAATCAACGCAATTTACTATATAACCAAGGCAATTATACCGCCTCTAAATCGTTGCCTGTTGCTTATTGGTGCTGATGTGAATGAATGGTGAGCATTAAAAATCATTCCCACTTTCGATTAAAAGTTAAATCAAGTACTCGTATGTCACAGGTTCACTAACTTGCCGCGCAAGCTACTCCTAACACCTGCCCTCTCGACTGCCAGCGAGCTGGTGATGCATAACAGCAACTCCATCGCAACCGTCACGGCCAGCAAGAAATCAACAATTTCGCAGTACTTCTCCACAACCAATTGCATCATTGATTGCGGGCGTCACACAAAGGCGGGCATTTGTGATCAGTGCGCCAGGGATGAGAGCAAGTGCGTGGTCACATTGCATGCAAAAATGGGTAAGCTGGAGCGTGCTTATCGGCTGACACAGCAGATCTGTCAATGCTGCTGTGGACGCGTCGGTGACTTGAAATGCGGTTCGCTAGACTGTCCGGTTCTCTATGTGCTAGAGGTAAAACGCCGGGATCTACAGCAGATTGGGCACTTGAGGAATGTACTGGAGGAGCGTTTCTGACACAAACAGAGACGAATACAACTTGTGATATTTCTACGTTTACTGCATGTACACACGTTTATTCAATACATATACGCTTTCTATAAAAACCTAATACATTTTTTAAGCATTGTTCAGTTTATTGATTATGTAAATAGTTGTTTATGCATTTATGTTATGTGTAATAATTCTACTACTATTGTTAGCTATGGATATATTTTGTAGCCTTGTTTGTGAGTGGCGAATTGATGAGAGTAGATTGTTTTAAAACGTTTCATTTATTGATTATGAAAGAATGCATTTATGAACTTGTGAAATTCTACACAACTAAGTTAATAACAATATTTTGAGATTTTGCATATGATAATGTGTTTGAATAAGCATAAATATTGAATACCATCCAAATATGCAGTTAATTAAAATTTTAACTTTTCAATAGAGAACCAATTTGAATAACAATAACAGCTGATTTATGCATGTATGTGCTTATAGGATTTTTGATTGATTATAGTATAAACAATTTTAAATTGCATTCGTATTGTGAATTGAGCAGTGAATTGCGCATTGCTTACAAGTACAATATTACTAAAAAAAAACACATACATGTATGGTACAATATATAAGTAGTTTAAAAAAATTCAAAATATGCCTCTAAAAATTTGTATTTCATTTACATATCATCATCCATTTCAAAAATCATGGAATTCTTTGCATCAGCATATTGTTCATGCTCTGCGCGAGGTTTTTTGTTTCGTTTAGCTTCATTGTCGTTGTTATCGCTGTTATTATTGTTTTGAGCGCCAACTAAATCAAGACCACTATCATGAAGGTCCTGCTCTTCTTTGCTCTGCTTGAAATACTGCTCTTTAGCTGCAGCCTGCAATTATATTTAGTTTTAAAACATGGTAATTATTAACTAATTTATTTTGGAATAAAGAATTGTTAAACTTAAAGCCAACAGCTATAATATAATATATGTACAATTTATTTTTAAATATTGTTTGCATGTATACATGTGTAATTATAGTATGTTTATGAATACATTTTCAGAAAGCGTAAGCTATTCTTGGAAAAATAACTAACTAGCAAGTGTGAAATAGCATTACGCTATTTAATACACGGCGATCAAATATCTCTGTCTGCCTCAAACGTAGCTGTAGTATAAATAATCTGTTCGATTTCTGACTCGTTTTACACAAACAAAAACTAAATAAACAAATGATAATTTAGCACATTTATGTAATTCAATCATTATACAATAAAGGATTCAACTGATATCTGACTATCAATATTAGTGTCTACGCAGCAAATATGGTAAAAACCACATTTCGCGAAGGTGTCTTAATTAAATTAACACGCCCGGTAATCAGCCAGTTAAGCCCAATATCAAATTTGCTATCTTATCAGCTATAATGACGTACTAACCTTGAGAGTTGTGTTGTTATCTTCATAGTCGACGGAATCGCCTTCGCTGACGCGACGCTGCTGGGCTCGCATTTTGCAATCACGCCTCTTCTGGTTCTTCTTTTTGCGACCCAAGATGCTCGAGTCGAGTCTGTGCCAACGAAAAGACAAAGGTCAGCAAATTTCAATTGTCTTCAATTGTAGCGTTTATTTAAGAAGGCACCCACCTAAATACTTGCTTCATGATTTGGTCATTAAATCTAACAGTCTTTTTGCAGCTCTCCGATAATCCGGGATCGTCTCGCTCCTCGGGTATCCCACCAAACGATTGCGAGTAACTGCCAAGGCCACCTGCGGCATCAACCGAACAGGAAAACGACGAGGAGCATTCATCAATGGACGAGCAGCTGTCTGATATGGATGGTCTTGGCCCGTAGCGACTAAAGCGTTTTAAAATGCCCCTGCAGGCCACAGAACCACCGCTGCCAACGCTGCTTTCATTGCACTCGGAATAGCTGCGCTGCTTGCGTGGAGGCACTTTTAGCAAGGCCACTGGCTTTGATGCAGTCGCATCATCGCTACGTTCCGGAGATGAGTGCTCGTGCGGTTCAGCAGGCTGCTTGTTGGCTGCCTGCTGTTGGGCATCGTACACCTTATTGATATCCTCACATGCAGACTCAGAGAGGGAACGCTGTTTCTTGTTGCGCTTGCGCTGCTTCTTGTTAACCTTTTTTTGCAGTTGCTGATCCTTTTGCTGCTGATCATTATGCTCCTCATCCTCAGTGGTGTTTGATGCACAAGCGGCAGCAGAATGTTTCGGCGTAATGGTTATTTCCAACGAGGGCTCATCGTCATTACGATCAACGGTAATGTTGAACTTTTGTTCCCCTTCCTCACATTTCTTCTTCATATTGCTCGTTTTTGTGGGATACTGACCATGGACGCTGTATTCCACCAGATCGTTCTCATCCAATCCGGCAAGATACGTTTTCAGACCATCCCCTTTCGTACTTAAAGTTACTTTCAACACAATATTGTTGTCCCATGCCTCCGGTTCGGAAGTCTCGATACGCAAATTGGCAGGTGCATCGCTTGGCAGTTTCACAAAGAATGCATAATATGTGGGATAGAAGCCGCTGCCCACTGTGGCGAACTGCAGATGGAGACTCTGCGGCTGTTGCAGCGTGAGTAAGGAATCGGGTTGCACATTCGGCACGTGCAGCACGAAGGCCATCACATTGTCCAAAACATTGCAATCAAACTTGGCGGGAAGTTGGTAATGTACAGAGCTCTTGAGGAAAGAACGTGGCGACTGCGTGGTCGTGGCAGTGGTAGCATCAGCTATTAAAGTAGTTTGTGTTATTATGTTAATAAGAAACAAGTGAGAATGCTCTCGATATTGTAAAAAAAAAAGCATACAATCATTTTAGTATTTTGAAAAGGAAAGAAACCCGTCTGCTTAATTAGATTTGTTTGTGATTAAATTTAATGAGATATAGGCCTTTTTCTATCTCGTCAATACGAATAATTACGTTATTGGAACTGAATCAAATCTAAACCGAATTGTTGGCCTCGATGAATCCTAAATCACCTCACACAAAAGTATAGTTTTTCATTTGGGATATTTTCATTTATTTCAAATAATAAATTAAACCTATCGTTTTAAAGACGGATGTACTTATATCAATATGTTTTATGTGCTCAAATTAAAGAGTCATTCATTTTTGAGATCTATAAATGAGCGACCAGTAATACAGAAAAACCTATTTATATATTATGACAATTTCTTCTCTTCAAACTGTCTGAAATTTGTTAAATGTGCAATCACTAACTGTATGCAAATATATAAATAAAAAGCTACCACTTACATTGATCGGAAGTAACCGTCTTGGTTGGCTCATCTGTAGAATCACTTTGCTCCGCTTCGGCATCACCGTCAACATCGTCATCCTCCTCTTCGACTGGTGACTCACTGTTTGAGTGAAGCTCGACACCGCTATCCTCACGATTTAATTGGCGCAGAGTGTCGTGCATTTCACGTTCCTTTTTCGCACTGGAACGAGCCACGGGCAGCGTTATACAGAGGCGACGTTTGTCGGTATCGAAACGAGCGTTCCCCGCTTTATCGTTCACGGTATAGGGCAGATCTAATTTTAATTTGTACTTGGCGCCCTGGCGTTCGCTCAACAAATAGATCGAGTTGTTAGTCACATCCAGCTGGCATTCGGCAGTGGAACGCAGTAGCGGAAGCTCGATTTCAACGACCAGAGAACGCGGCACTGTCAAATTTAGTTTGGCATCCAGCTCATCCGTATACTCGGACAAATCCACGTCATGGCTCTGCTTTATAATATATTTGGGTATCGTGTATTTAGGCTTGGGCGTGGGCTTGGTTTTTAGTGGTAATATTTTGGGCTCATCATTCGCCGCATCTGGTTTTTGTGGATACATGTGCTCCAGTGGGTGCGGTTCCCGCTCCTCTTCCGTAGCATTTTTCGACAATTTCCGTATCACAGTGGGACGCGAGACACCCTTGTAGTCGAGCTTCGGGAACTTGAGATTGGCGCGATCCAAACTCACTTTATACTCACGTTCGATCGCGTCCAGCGCAGTGTCGATAAGGCACTTGCGAAATTCGGGATTACGCTGAGCCAGATACAAGGCATCTGGGTGGAAGACCACATCATAGACCTTGCAATGATTGTTTTTGGAATCGAAATCATCCCGACCTGGAGTCTGAGCCATTGGTATTGACCATGTGATACCACGTGCTCCGGTTTCTGGATCTTGCGCGACAACATTTTCCGGACGTGCTACTTCCGCGCAGCTGGCAATGTTAATAAAGCATTTCAGTTCTCCTTCTATGGCAGTTTTCACCACAAAGCCCGGCTTTGGATGTATAAATGTCACCTCAACACCGCGCTCCTTCTCCAGCTGAGCTATTTCATTTTCATAGATCTTGCGGTTCTCTGGATCTTGGATTTCCTCAACGTAGTCGAAGAAGAGTTTGCGAAATTCTTCTTTGCCTAAGGCCTCGCGAATGCGTTCGAACTCTTCTTTGCTTATATCGAGCTTTTCTTGACTAAGTTTAGAGTGTTTATTACGTTCACCAGTCGCAGTAGAAGCGGACATAGCGCTAAATGCAACTACTATCAATAATTAGCTCTATTTCTACAAAAATCCACCAACTTTAAATACAATATTCACTGCTTTATAAATAATCTTTTTTAACGGCTTAATAGCTGTATTTAAAATCTTTTTAATAACACTATAGCGGTTTTTTAAATCGAAAATATGCAGTGATTTGTTGACAATTAGATTCTGAAAGAGACAAAAAAGGGCATTGTTAAAATTGGATTTGTTTTTGAAGCTGATGCAATAACTAGCTACTATTGAAATCTCAACATTTGTTGATAAGCTTATTGACGTATTTTGTGTTATAATACCAAACCGTGCTTATAATTCTTTTATCACAGATGGATATCTATATATACATACATTTCATGAATTTTAAAAATAAGCACCCGCTATTAGCCGACCTCTTAAATCATTTGCCATTAGTATGCAAAAATACATACATATATATGTATATCTTTCAGATCGCTTATCTACACCCTTTCCTTTACATATGTATGTATGTGTAGACCTTTAATAGATTATTATACAATTTCATCAAATAAATTAACTTGTATGTATGTATGTACATACATGTACGGGTGTGTGTGAATATTTTCTATCAAATTTGCCGGCCGCAAGAAAATAGCCACCTTTCCACTAAATTTAACAGGTGACTGATTAAATTTCTTTACATTTCTTATATAATAATAGACAGACATCAGAGGAAGGAAGGTATTTAGTATAATTTTTTATACAAAAAAAAAAAATAGAACACGCGTAAAAACGTACTGCGTAGTTTAATTTTTGTTTTGCTGTTGCTTGTACGGTTATAGTTCGTGTCGGCCGCGCGAGAGAACTTGGGCGAATGAGCGTCTGTCCCGAAATGCCGGCAAACACATTTCGTGGGCACCAATACGAGAATGAGGAAGAGAGCGGCGCGCGGGTGACAATCAGCAAGCCACTTGCCCTCAATTGTGTTTTGTTGTTAAATAACAAAATGTTCTCGATGTTGCGCAGAAACAAACCAAGCACACATACATATGTAAGTATATACACATACACTATTATAGCTAAATTGTAAACGCAACCCGTGATAAGAGATAAAAGGAAAGCGATATTGGAGAACAGCTGAACGGATACATAAGCAAGGGACATACGAGTACGAACGCATACTATTGAATATTTTTGGGTATGTATATATGTATGTATATCTATATACATATATAGGGGAAAGAAAATAAGGAAATTTGTAACGGTTACGTGACAGGCAACATGTGCGCCAAGGGTTACAAAGATGGTTTGAGTGACAATTGTTTGATCAATACGACAAACAAATGCAAATTGATTGATTTCTATTATATGTTTGTATATACATACATACATACATATGTATGTGCCGATCTGGACCGGTCAGACTAAACTTTGCGAAAACCTATACATGTACACACATATGTAAACATATACACACCCACAGCTGTAAAGCAGGTTGGAGCTGCAGCACAATTTATGACAATCAAGTAGAATAAAAAATAATTTGAAGCCGTTGCCGATGTCAATGACCAGCCTTCCACTACTTTTCTCTGCTCTTAGAACGCAAGAGATTTTCTAGTGGAAAGCCAGAACTAAGCAATCAACGTTACCCACACATCCTCATTCCCATTGTATGTACATACATACATGCATGCATAGTACGTACGTACACGCGGGTTTATTGTGCATCTGCCTACAAATACACTCACTCACCTTAAAAAATATGTACGTTTAATAGTCTGTTTATGTTAAAGATATGATTATGTCAAATGCACTTTATTAACGAAAGCAATTCTATTGTTTTTCATAAAGCACTTTTCGAATGTTATGTGATTGATAATTCAAAATTTCTAGAAAATCTCAATCAATTTTCCCCAGGCACACGCAAAGCTGAGAACCGGCTCAGAGTAGTGTCTTCGAGTGGTGTGACCGTAAACGACTAAATGCAAAAATCCTTCACCCTACATGAAAACACACCGCTGCAGTGTTTTCAGCATTTTTTCAATAAAAGTATGAGAAATAAACATATCTTACCCTGTTTTGACATGTCTTTAATATTATTTCTTAAGCTCTGCCTTCGTTCATAAATAATAAATTTCTTGGTTCGAAGTGTCAATACTAATTTGGCTTCTATACTTAGGTATACCGCTAATTTGGTATTTACAGAATTTTTTCAATAAAATATGCGACTTATTTTAAAATGTGACGTATGGTCACACTTCTGCTAGAGTTTTGGCGATGGAGTATAAATTATTTTTAGTTTATCTACTGCCTCTTTTTGTGTGTGAAAATGCGAAAGGTGCGTTAAAATTTATTAATTTTCAAAGAAAGGTGTTCGCATAGTTGTTTATGAATATTGCAAATTAGCTTTTGCTACTTTTGTATCACTAAAAGTGATCTGAAAAATGATGCTATTTGCTCCTACGTGTGTGTATGTGCAGGTCTAATTTGTTTTCATATGCTACCGTTCTAGCTTATTGCGCTGCGTATAATGCGGAACGATAGAAAAAGTGCACTTCATTGTAACAACTACAATGAAAACATGTCGGCAAGAGTAACAAAAGTTATATAAACAGCGCTATAAGTTGGTTGTGGGCGAACGAAGCATAAAAATTGCAGTTATTAATATACACATATGTATATACATACATGTATTATATCCATATGCCTATGAATGTGTGTGTGTGTTTCTGTGTGCGACTTGTATTGGACATGTGTGTGTGACTGATTTTTATTTATTTTTTACAGCTGAAATAAATGAACGCTTTCTTGATGATAATCAAGAAATTTTAGACATGGAATTACCGCCACATATGAGCGGTAAAGAGTTCCCAGCAATTCAACCCAATTCGGTCCAGGTTCAAGTGCATCCCAGGTAATTCGAATATAACTCATAATCCCATAATGGCTAGAGAATCCCATTGCTAATATCATAATAATTCCCTAAATCATATGCTGCCCTTGTCCAGAAGACATATTAAGAGTAAGAGACGCATGAAAAGAAGGTAAAGCTGTGATATCTTCATGCGTAATTTAATATTTTTTTCGGTTTCCTTTAATGAAAATCATAATAGCTGTTTTACTAATCACACATCTATTCCAAAAGATTCAAATGCTATGCCTGTGAGCCTCCATGTCATAATCCGAACGAGCACGCCCACACATGCCAATCTGCCATACAGGTGAGCTTTTATCATTCTTTAATTTAGTTATGTTTCTTTAATCAAAAACATAAATATTTGCAGTGCTGGAAATCGCGTACCCGTGATGCTGTTGGCCAGGAACAAGTTTCACGTGGCTGTACCACATCTTGGGATCAGATGCACTTAATTTGTAATCAAAATAATATGAACAAACAGAATGGACCCAGCAAACGCAACACAGCAAAGTTCATAAATGTGGCCTGCTGTGCTGGAGATTTTTGCAATGATGGCGATTTTCCCGAACTACCACCTTTTGTCAGTAGCGATGTAACAGTTATAACTGCCGATAGTAGCAGCATAAGCAAAATGGTCGCAGCTATTTTCGGCCCCTTCCTTATTATAGTGTTAGTGGGTATGGTGGCCATTTACTTCATTCGACGCAATCATCGTAAGCGATTAGCTGCCTCACGAACTAAGCAAGATCCTGAATCGTATTTGGTTAACGATGAGTTGCTGCGCGCCACTAGCGCCGGCGACAGCACACTTCGCGAATATCTCCAGCATTCCGTAACCTCAGGGTCCGGCAGTGGACTACCGTTGTTGGTGCAGCGTACGCTGGCCAAACAGGTGACGCTGATTGAGTGTATTGGACGGGGCAAGTACGGTGAGGTGTGGCGTGGACACTGGCATGGTGAAAGTATTGCTGTCAAAATTTTCTTCAGCCGTGACGAGGAGTCATGGAAGCGTGAAACGGAAATCTATAGGTTTGTGAATTTGTATTTTATTTTGATCACTGAATATTATTTACTTAACTTTGACTGCTTGTTAATTTTTAGTACCGTGCTGTTGCGTCACGAGAATATACTTGGCTTCATTGGATCCGACATGACATCACGCAATTCTTGCACACAACTCTGGCTAATGACTCACTACTTTCCTTTGGGTTCGCTATTTGATCATCTTAATCGCAATGCCCTAAGTCACAATGATATGATTTTGATTTGTTTGTCCATTGCTAATGGTTTAGTTCATCTGCATACGGAGATATTTGGAACTGAGGTACGTATAGAAATATTCACGAGGTTTTCCTCTAATTATTATTCAATATTTCTCCGCTTTTTTAAAGGGTAAACCAGCTATGGCCCATCGTGATTTGAAATCGAAGAACATACTAGTGAAATCGAATGGTGTTTGTGTTATAGCCGATTTTGGTTTGGCAGTCACACATTCGCATGTAACAGGCCGTCTTGATTTGGGCAACAATCCGAAAGTTGGCACCAAACGGTATATGGCACCCGAAGTCCTTGACGAAACGTAAGTACTACAATAAATTTTTGCTACTTCTAAAAAATGCTAAAAATGCTTTGATTTATATTTAGTATCGATATGCAATGTTTTGAAGCATTGCGGCGAACGGACATCTACGCTTGTGGTCTAGTGCTTTGGGAAGTGTGCCGTCGTACGCTTTCCTGTGGTATTGCAGAGGAATACAAGGTTCCCTTCTACGATGTTGTGCCAGCAGATCCCAGTTTTGAGGACATGCGAAAAGTGGTTTGCATTGACAACTATCGCCCATCGATACCGAATCGCTGGAGCTCTGATTCTGTAAGTTAAATAAAATCTATAATTTAATTTTCTTTTTTTTAATTTTTATAAATATATATTATTTATTTTCAGTTGCTCGCGGGAATGTCCAAGCTAATGAAAGAGTGTTGGCATCAGAACCCAAATGTGCGCCTTCCAGCCTTACGCATTAAAAAGACTATACATAAATTAGCTTCCGCTGATGAGAAAATACGTTTAGATTTTGATGAGGTCTGCGTTTAGTTTATAGATTGTATTAGTCTACTTTTAGCTATTAATATAACTTAGGGCTATACGACATTAGTTTATAATTAGTCTTATAATGTCCACAATTTTTGCATTATCATTATTTTGTTCACATCGTTTTGTGTATGCGGGTTATTACACAAGTCAACATTTATTTAGTTTCATGAGTTATTCAAATTTAATTTCGTGCCTTTGAAATTGCCTTAAATGTAAATTGAACTTGACTTACTGTTTAATTAACATTTGTATTGTATTATCACAGTACTGTGAATCACCACCATGCCTGCATTTATACTATGCTTACCAATCGTATTCATTTTTCATCAAGTGCCATTGCAATTGAAAATTGTTCCAACAACGTTTACTTCATTACCTTATATTTAAGCTCACTTTTTAAACGTAACACTTCAGAGTTGAATTCACTGTATTTCCCTTAATTGACATACATATATATATATTTACCAAGCTATGATAGAATTCTAGGCCGCAATTTGCGCCGCTACATGAGAAATACATAAATACTACATACTTCAAATAATGTACAAACTGAGCGCTAGTTAAGAGTTGTATATGTAGTTAAAAAAGTATATAAATGACTTAAGATACCATACCCTCTTCATACAAAAATAAAATACACGATTAACTGTTAAGATAACGAAATGCACAATTTTTATTACGAGTACGTTAGATCCCGTGATTAATTTTCAGTCAACAATTTAAAGCTTTCATCGTTCTTTTCGTCGAGAAATAGCAACTTGAATATATCATTGAAGAATTCGGGATAGTAATCACATGCTCGTTGACAATCAGGCGTCCAATTGATTTCCAATAACTTCGGTTGCATCACATTTTTGCCGGCGCTGTTGGAATTCCATTCCAGCATTATGTCAGCCGCGTATAAGGCACGGGATTGGGGACAAGGGGTGAGGCCACAAGGTGGCGGCGCTTTGGTGGCACATTGTAGAACCTCGTGCAGCATTCGGCATATCTGTTGCTCCACAATTCTCCATTCATTGTCCGGATACTGCTCCTGCCACATTCCCACAAAGTCGTCGCACTTGATGTGATGGAGCTCAGCATTTTCCTGATAGTTCATAACCGTGTAGTGCTTTTCATAGTCATCGAAGTTGTCCAACGAAAAGGGGCGATTGGCAAACCGCAAGAAGAATTTGCGATGCACATAGGCCTCTAGCGGCTTAGCACACTTCATGAGTATAACATAGCGTATATCGAACTTCACTTGGGCATCCAATTCGTATCTTTTAAAGAGTACCGGTCGCTCTATATATTTCTGGGCGATTTTTGGACCAGTTGCGGGCAAACGCACAATTTGCTTAATGTTGTTGGTAATGTGCGTGTCAAGTCCACGTGCCAGATTCCAGGGTTTAACTATCCAATGGTTGTCCAATCCCTTAGCTGCACGATGCTGATAATACGAGGCAAATTCCAGCAGCTCCGTGGTCAAATTGTATGTGGTGGGCAGCCAAGAGGGCAGGGTCTCCAATGTTTCGGAATTGTGATGTTCTTTGGCTGCTCGTCGCGCTACAATACTGAGGAGATCCTTGATGGTAATCACATACTCAAAAGGAAACTGATTGATGAACTTGTTGGGCGTCTGCGACGACAGCTCCGCAAATGTTTTGTAATGACGGGTAAGCCATAGGACGTCGGCCTCTACCTCATTGTCGACCAGTGTAAATTCAGGAGCCGTGAGATGGGCCCGTATTACATCGTATTCAGCATAAACCTTCAAGGGGTCGCATCGTGAGATTTGTGGCGATAGAACATTCGCCAGTGGATAAGTCTCCGGTATATGTCCACTGGAGAAGTATTCAGCTCCAGGTTCCGTTTGTATAAAAGTTTTGTCGCTGAAGTCCGCATCACGCCACGGCAGCAGCAACGCTGGACGCTGAACTGCATCCTTAGCCACATATTCAATAAAGTCGCGAGTGACCTGCTCGCCTTGCTTAGAATCCCGGATGGGAAAAAGCAAGCTATATGTGGTTTGCGTGCTGAGGTAGAGAAAAGGAACCAGCCTGAAATTCGGTTCCTCCGCATGGTTAACTGCAGACCCAACCTCGTCCATAACATACCAAATGGGCATGCGTTCCTCGTCCGTCAAACCTTCGTTGGCTATTGAATAGGCATGACAATACTTCCATAAGCGCCGAAGTATCTTATCTACCCGCTTCTCATGCTCCAAATCCACACCTGTAATTGCAGACATGCGATCCGACAGCTGGGCGTGCTGCTCCAGCTGCTGCCGCGCATTATTCATGCGAAACGTCCAGGCATGATCTACCAGATATATGGCCAGCGGATCCTTAGCTTTGACGCCCTCCTCCCGAGCCACTTCCAGAGCAAACTTCGGATTCGGACTATCATCATCATCTTCCTCGGTGACGCCATTTTCTTCCTCGTCATAGTCGATGAGCATCAACTGTAGGGCTTCGCCGGCATCGAAGATATCCCTGGATAGTTTGCTGTAGAGCGCTGGCCAAAAATGCTCCGGTATGGCAGAGGATTCCAGTTGGGGCTTATGCAAAGCCAAAAATTCATTGTACTTGTTCACGCCGTCCATGCCGAGATAAAATGTGCTAGAAGCCAACACTGTATCGCGAGTCTCACCGAATCTGTGATACCTTTTTTTTCATTCATTCATATAATTAGGTCCTGTGTTACCATAAATAAAACAAATCAATCGCTTAAATAGCATTTTGGCCACTTTACAGTTTTAATTGTTCAAATGTTTCAAGAAATAAACATAAGATAAAGTAAAGTGGTTTTGGGGACTTTTCAGCATCCTTAAAGTTCTGAAAGATTCAAGCAAGCAAACATTCTAAGTAAACAAATGGACTTATTTGTAGAGCAGTACTTAGTGTGACCGTATTTATGTGATGAGCTCAGCGCTACCCATCATCAGCTGTTCGACGGCTGTTGGTGAATATTATTAACAAAACGACGGCATTACTCACATACATAAACACGTAAATAAAGTGTAATTTCACCATTAGAATTATAGATAACGTCTGTAACACTTATAACTGGCCGCCTGTGAACATTTAAAAAAGTTCAAAGTCATCAACACAAGTCAATTTGAACGCAAGAAAAGAAGGGTACACAATTAGATTTTACTTTCTTGTCATGCTTGCTTATGTTGAACTATTCAAGAACACGCAAATGTGGCAAAATTCCTAGTTCTGTGTGGTAGTTGTGTCAGTTCAAAATTGAGTGTTTTCGTCTGCCAAAACACAGAGAAGTACCAGAGACAAAAGCAGAATGAGCGGTACATTAACACTGCCAGCAGCCGCAAACGTTGGCGGCGGCGGCGGCGCTGTGCCTTCGGTTCCGACTGTGTCAGTGGTACAGCCGCAGTCAGTAGACGCAGGAGCTTGCATGGATATTGAGGTAAGCAGTGACAGTCGTATTGGAATCATTAGATGAGTCTGTTCAACGGCACTGGATCAAAGTCTTAAGCATATCAGAAAGTGACACAATTTGTTTAAAATCGCGCAATTGCGCAGTTATAGCGCATAGGCTAGCCCGTTAAATAACAAGCTCCGATTAGGACTTCCGGGTATGCTGGTATTTAAATCAGGTCCGGGCATTGGGTCAGATTGTTCCAAATGATGTATAAATAAGTGTGTGATGGGTGTGTTTTTTGCGGCTGTTGTGATTGTTATTGTTCTCACTAGGCACAAATTTGATTTAGTTTTCAGCTGTATGTTCTCAGTATTACTCAATACATACTTAACTAAACATCCACAAATCTCTCTCACACACACAAACACACACACAACTATTTGTGCCTAAACAAAAACATTTCCAATGTCATGTGTATGCCAAATTCTCATGTAATAAATTATTTTTCAATTTCAGGATTCCAGAAATAACGGCTTTTGGCTCTGGAAATGGTTGTTTAATTGGACATCTAGCTCACCCACAATGCTTCGCGCCGTTGAGAAGAAGATTCTCTCGTACCTGAAGCTTCCCTATCGCGGTTTCTTTGTCGATATTGGGCCCGCGGTAGGTGATTCCGATAAAATATGGACGATAAGCCTAAACACAGAGTCAAAAGAGGTCCCGCTCGTGCTATTGCACGGCCTCGGCGCTGGCATTGCACTTTGGGTCATGAATCTTGATGCTTTTGCAAAGGAGAGGCCCGTCTATGCTATGGATATACTCGGCTTTGGTCGCAGTTCCCGTCCCCTCTTCTCTAAGGATGCTCTAATCTGCGAGAAGCAGTTCGTGAAGTCGGTTGAAGAGTGGCGACGCGAAATGAACATAAACGACATGATCTTGCTGGGACACTCTATGGGCGGTTTTATCGCATCGAGCTATGCACTCACCTATCCGGAGCGAGTGAAGCATCTAATACTAGCTGACCCCTGGGGCTTTCCTGAGAAACCGTCGGAGACCACAAACTCAAAACAGATTCCGCTGTGGGTGCGCGCAATTGCACGTGTGTTGACTCCGCTAAATCCGTTATGGGCTCTACGTGCTGCCGGTCCCTTCGGTCAGTGGGTGGTGCAAAAGACAAGACCAGATATCATGCGGAAATTCGCTAACACCATTGAGGAGGATATCAATTTATTGCCCCAATACATCCATCAATGCAATGCGCAAAGGCCCAGCGGTGAATCTGCCTTCCACACAATGATGGAATCCTTTGGCTGGGCCAAGCATCCTATGATACATCGCATTAAGGATGTGCGCGGCGACATACCCATCACATTCATTTACGGCTCCCGCTCCTGGATCGACTCGTCATCGGGAGAGAAAATAAAATCACAGCGCGGCAGTAACATGGTGGACATAAAAATCGTAACTGGAGCTGGTCATCATGTCTACGCTGATAAGCCGGACGTATTTAATCGCTATGTGAACGACACCTGTGATATGTACAAAGTGGATAGGCAGAGGCAGTTGTTGGCTCCACTGCAGCTCATTCGCGACGCGACTGAGTCGGATGATGAGCATGAAATGCTTGTTGAAGAGCCGCCCTTAAATGCCGCAGAGTCAGTGGAAATACAGCCAGAGGCTGCACCGACCTCAATGCGGGCGGAAGTACCAAACGAAGCACAGGTTACTGCGGCGGGAACAGCTGCTGATTTGGCGGCCGATGTCAAGCGAAAATAATAATGATGAAAACGGTATTTTCGATATAAATTATGAAATCAAAAAGCTAATTTGTATTTTTTTAGTGTTTTTGCCTAGTATTAAAATGGTTTTCTTATCTATTATGGTTGCTATTTCTATTCATTTTAAAATATAAAAACAAAATTTCCAAGCCACAGCTACATGGACAGTCACCATATACATAAATATGTACATAGATATGTACTTATACATAGCTCTATTTTTCCTAGATTGCATTCAACTATTTCAATCACTAATTACTTTAATCATGCATGATTAAATGTACATAGGTACATACATATGTATATATGCATGTATGTACATATATTTGTCCATGTGCTTTGGGTAAAAATATGTAATGCCAGTTGCTGATGTTCGTGCGCTGATTCAGCAGTGATTAGTAGTCATTATTCTTAGGTTCAAAGTGCAGCTGAACGCTCGTTTCAAAACAAAGCCACGAACACGATACGAATGCTACAGTTATGGCCATAAGGGTTAGCGGTGGCAAGAGAAAAACAAAACTTTTCAGTCAAGCCTATAAGTATACTTTTCAAATTCAAATCACATTGAAAGCTGACCACGAAGTGTTAATAATAATGAATAAATTGAGCATTCCACACAGTGCGATCATATGATTAATATGAAAACATATTATACACAATTTTTCACAGAATATGATTAGAAAAACAAAATACGAAGCACCCTTCAAAATTCGGTTTCATCAACAACAAAACAATTCGCAAACAAAGAGCAAAGTTACAACCGGGGCCGGCATTCTGAGCTTATCAACGCTTTAAAATAACAACACTAAGTACTTGGCTTGCCGATAAGCTGCAGCGGTCATTCATTCAATATAACAAACAAAGAACATTCTTTCACGTAAACAACAAATGCATGTAATTGTTTTGTATATTTATTTGCAGGTTTTTAATGCTTTCGCTCTAATGATTTTTATTCAATTAGTCTTTATTTTTGTTTTTTGCTGTTATCTCAGGAAAATTTGATACATATGTATATAGTAGATGGTTATTTAGGGTTTTGTTCTCTATTTGGCATCAGCAAAACCAACTCGATCATTACCCATATCGAATTCAGTGTAGTACTTTCCAATAAAGACATCTCCCAGTATCCACAGTGGTCCGTTAGGAGGCGGAATATCCATGCCCATGAAGCCTGACAGACAAATGGTCTTGCCCATTTGAGCAATGCGCAGAATATAGTCCTTGCCCTCCAGTTCGAATGTTTTGCCACCGAGCACGAACTTTATAACTGGTAATTTGGGAATCATGTCGCATGACACAACATACTGTCCCCCGATAATGGGAGTGCCGCCGATGGCCTGATTAATAGAAGTTGCTTCAGTTGCTGGAGCAGCAATGAGGGAAGTTCCTGTATCGGCAATTACTTGGCAGCCGCCTTTGCAGAGCTGTACGTCACCAATGGAAGCCGAGTCCATTTTTACCTGCCAGTAAGCCTTACGTGTCACAGGCAAGTAGGTGAAATCTCCAGTATAATGATCGGGATCAGAGCCACCAAATATGATTTCACCCCCCTCTGGTGCAGAGGCATCGCGATTGAGATAGAACGAAAATACAGGGGCAGAGATTAGGCCCTGCTCGTACATGGCATAGAACGGAGGTTTTACGCCGTCGACAGAAATGGAGCTATATCCTAAACCAAGGATGCCATCGAACTTAGCAGCCACAAAGACCAATCCAGGTTCGCTTAGGGCTTCGGCAAACGTCTGGTCCTTAATGTTCAATCCGCCAATACTGACTGTGTCACTGGACAAATAACCAGACAAGCTGCCCGATCCGTAGTGAATGGCGAACTCGGTTCCGTTTTTCACGTATGTCTTCGACTTGTTTGCATCGTACTTATTGTGCATTAGACAAGCAATGTTGGTCAGGTGACATTTCTTTGAGGGTACCCACAAATTTGAAGAGCCGGTATCGAACACTACCTTAAAGTTTTGTGGCGGCGATCCAATAGAAATAGGTCCGTAGTACTGGGCATCCAGGTAGTTGGACAACGGCTCGGGGGCTATTCCATCTGCACCGTACTTAATGCGTATTTGTTGCAACTCTGTACCAACATCGTCTAAATGGCGACGCGCAGACTGAAAACGATGCAAAGGAACGCGTTGGAGTTGGGCTTGGGCGAGAGCAAGGCAACCGGCTAGCAGAATTAACGTTATCTGCATCTTAACTGGAAAAGCAAGTCCGAATATTTGTATAATAAAGCGCAGCTCTGACAAGAAATAAACTACAGTTACCCTTTGTTCAAGTTAATCTAATAAATTGCAGCGCAGAAATGATTCAGCATGTACTAAGACTCTGGTGCATTGAAAAGTATCGACTACTTCAATTACGATGCATCGAACTAGTGATGGGCTTTTGAACTCAATGCGTGGCAATGTAACTGTTAGCTGTAAGATTTGTTTAGAAAATGAATTAATAGTGGTATCCCTGCAAATTATTTTGATTTGATCAATGATTTTAAATGATTTTATAAGGATGCTCATACATTAGACTCTCACAATTATTTTATTTTACTAAATTAGCTAACTAACTCCATGTGTACTTTTGATTGTTGTTTAAAATTTACAATTTTAGCACAAGAGGAAACGTCAAAATTTATCTTGTGTTTCTGATTGAACACCTGGTACGAATGTAGTCAGTAACTCTTTATGAAAATACTCTATAAATTTTGTAAATTGCTTCAAATATTTGCCCTGGCTTACGAATATGATTTATCCATCTAGGCGGAAATTTTATAATCAATTTTTAAACAGGCTCAACATACTGTTCTTACTTGGAAAACGAACAAGGTTGACTTTGATTTAATTCAATATTAATTTATTTTTAACTAAATAACATAATTTGTCTTCGATCATAATAATTTGATTATGAAAATAGATTAAACCGAATATAGTCCAACAAAATATTAATCATTATTTAGCATCAGCAAAACCAACACGTTGATTACTCATGTCGAACAATGTGTAATATTTTCTTATAAAGATATTTCCCAATAGCCATATAGTTTCACGCGGATATGGCATGTCAAAGCCCATGAATCTTGAGAAACAAATCGACTTCCCCATTTCAGTAAGGCGAAGTATATAATCCGTTCCTTGGAGTTGAAAGGTCTTGTCCCCAAATACAAATTTAATAACGGGCAATTCGGAGGTTATGTTACAGGGAATTCTCCTATCGTCAGCGGCTCCAATCGCATTATTTATCGCTTTGGCGTCCACTGATGGAGCTATAATGAATGATACCCCAGTATCAATGACAGCTTGGCAGCCTCCCTTACAAAGTTCTACGTCATCTATAGAAGCAGATTCCATTTTGATTTGCCAGTAGCGCTGCCCCATCACTGGCAGGTATGTGAAATTTCCAGAGTAGTGTTTGGGATTTGAGCCTCCAAACAAGAGTTCGCCTCCGTCACGGTTGAGATAAAATGAAAACACAGGTGCAGAGATTAGCCCCTGTTCATACATAGCATAAAACGGGGGCTTAACGTCATCCACGGAAGTCGATTCATAACCTAGACCGAGTATGCCATCGGATATTGTTGAGCCAAAAAACTTGTCTGTAACGCCTGTTGCCTCTGCAAAAGTTTGGTTTTGAATACACAGTCCGCCAATATTAAGGAAATCAGTGGACAAATAACCCGTAACAGCGCCTTTTCCATATTGTAATGAAAAATAAGTTCCATTTTTAATGTACGTCCGTGACTTTCTTGCATCGTACTTCTTGTGCATTAGACAGGCAATGTTGGTTTTACGGCATTTCTTTGAAGGCACCCACAAATTTGAGGAGCCAGTATCAAAATTCACTTTAAATTTTTGCGGTGGTGTTCCAATAGAAATAATCCCATAATACTCTCCATCCAGATAGATGTACAAGGGAATCGATGCACAGGTACCTTCTCCGTCCTTTAATTGAAGCCGACGACTATTTACCTCACTTTTGAAACGTTGTAAAGGAACACGTTGGAAGCTTGCATGCGTAGTGACTAGGCACAAAATAATTATTAACAGATTCATGATAGTTTTATATAATTTGAATACTCTACTTGGGTTCTAAAATATCACGTTAAATCAGATGGATTTATTAGCAAGTGAATGTTGACGCCTTCATGGTTCTATACGGAATACTCATTAAAAATACATTTTTATAACATATAAATATGAATTATTTATAGTATGCTTTGTTTTAAATGATTGACTTACTGACTCATGACCAGAGAACAGTCAAACTTCGTAAAGAGGGTTGAAATTTCAAGAGGTTTCTTATGTAAATTAGAGTTAAAGGTTTTATGGTAGAAAAGGATTTCAAGCTTGATTTGAACGCAGCAAAAAAAAAAAAATCTATGAAAACATGGTAATTCATTGGCTTACAGCTAGCCTGCACCTTGTCCAGATATTTAGCCTCAAATAATAGACGACCAATTTCACTTGAATACTTCACACGGCATCTCTTTTATCTGATTTCTTTGTCCAGATTTGTTCAGAAGGCTTTTTTAAGTTATATTTTGCAAATAATTCATAAGAATTTAGATTTAACATTGTACAATATATGTATATTATCCGAACCCATACCATTTTCAATCATACATACTAGTGTTAAGAGTGCATAATAGTTCATATAACAAGCGCCATTTTTACAAGTAAGCAATTGCAGTTTCCAACGTTTATAATTTTGCTCCATGTATATTGTAAAAAAATGCATTTAAATTGCTTAAAGTACTCAGTGTTACTTCTCGTCCTTAGTACTTATAACGATAAATGGCAACGCCAGCGACACCAACCAGAATAGATCCCATTAAGTAGCCCAACAGTTTAAGCTGCAATATGATTATACTGACTGATAAGTATAAAAATGTAATAATTTATTCTCGTAATATACCTTGGAGTTGTCTACCAATGGTTGTTTTTGTCTGGAAGCAGTCTTTTGTTCCATTTTTTTAGCTTGCCCCAGCATTTTTTGATACATTTCCTTCTCATTGTGCTCTTCGCGGCGCGCTTTAATAAAAAGCCTTGCCAAGTCCTGTTGAACAGTGCGGTTTTCAGGTTCCAATGTAGCTACCTTTTGCAAAAGTTTGATAGCGCCCTGCGTATCAGCCTTGCCTTCAAGTATCTAAATAAGGTGAACATATGGCATAAACATATATAAGTGATTTTCTATAATCTCGAATCTAGCATTCTATTCTTGTGCTTAGTATTATACATGTGTTATTACTCACCCTGCCCTTGCGATATAGAGCCTTTGAGTTATTTGGCTGGCAACGTAGGACGTGCTCTACCGATTGCAGTGCAGCGTCATACGCGTCAATTTTTATTTGCGCCATGGCCAGGTTATTGTAGACAATCAAGCGATCCTCTAATAGAGTCTGCAAATCACTATTGGATAACTGCTGAAGTGAATTAGTTTGGATATTACATATTACTTTGCTAATACAACTCACTTCTAGGTCTTCTTTGCCAAACTCGGCGTCAGGGTCCCCATCGCGGTCATCTAGAAAGTCAAGCGCACGTCTGTACAGATTTATAGCATTGTTGTACTCCAAGCGTTTGTAAAAATAGTTGGCTCGTTCTTTTTTTCGTATGCTACAAGATAATCGGACTGTAAATAATACATATTTAATACAAGAATAAAGCCTACCCATATTTGCGCAGAATTTCGAAAGTCTTCAGGTCCGCAAAGTCTTCAGTTTTGCAATCTAAAAGTTCGACTTCGTATGTTAACTATTGAGAACAATATATAAAAATTGTTTAAAAAAAATAGTCTTATATAGTGGAACTTATTACTTACATGTGCATCAGGACCTATTATGGGCTCAGATTCGTTGTCTTTTTTGAGTCCAGTCGAGCCGTAGCCAAAGCGCGAATCGAGCTGCACCTTTGCCACTTCGCCCACCTTCATCATGGGTAGCACCATATCCAAGCCGTGTACCACCTCAAAGTCGCCTACATGCACCTCGAAGCCCTGCTCTTGTTCCACAATTGTACCATCGTCCAGCTTACCAGTGAAAGTTATTTTAACTAAGTCTCCACGGACTGGACGCCTTGCATCCGGAGGCGCCTGCTTAATAATGCGTTTCACCAGCTGCTTGTTTCCCAAAACATCACATTCATTTTCACTCTCTGAGTCACTTCCAGTTGGTGGATCATAGTCTGAATCGGGAGCAACACTTGCGCCAGCCGAGTCAAAAGTCGCAGGCTTCTCCGATTTGGCAGACTGCGCCGCTCTTATATCCTTCGTATCTTCGGCATTGGTCAGGTCTTCAAAAGAACTGTTGCTGGATTTTTCGACGTCCATATTAACCTATGGGACAAATGTGTAAAAAGCGAAAACATGGAACAAAGGGCGATATTTACTCTACGTAAGTGCACTTTAGTACGGAGTGCAATGTATGGCTTAGGCCTACTCAAATTTTTATTGTAGAAACCAAGAAACGGCTCTGACAGAGTTAGCAGAGTAGTGTTTTCCGAAAATTAGTACTAATTCGAACTTATAATGTAATATTAAGAAATTGTTGCTTTCACAAGTACTTTTGACATTTCCCTGACGGAGTTGCCAAGTCTAAGGCGCATGGAAATGTCAGCCCTAAGGCGTTGCCAGATGTTGCTTCTATTTTGTGCTCACACAGCTGATAAACAACATACGCATAGACTTCGGTGTTCATTTAGATTTTTCGTTAATTTAGTGTGCAAAACGTCGTTTTACAATAAACAAATTTTTATTTCCTTTCACATACAGTAGTAAAAAATGGGGAAACCAAAAAAAACCAATGAACAAAAGCGTAAGAAGCAACAGGGCCAACGCAGTTACGGGTCCCCCTCAAAAGCAAAGCATGGCCTACAAAATAATACGGTAAGTAGTTTAAATTAAAAACATTCCTGGGTCGATATGTATATAATATACATATGTATATACAAATGAGATCTGCTATGCCAAACATCTTTTTACCAACGCTTTATGTCGCGCGCATTTGATACAGCGTCCTCCATGTTTTTATTTCCTATTCCAAGACCCGGGTTGCTTGGGTGCTTCGGTTGGGGTGATCCGTAGTGCGCAAACGCTAAGCCGAAACACCCAAAAAACAACCCACCTGTCAAAAATATGAATAGGTTCCAGAAAGTCTTTCACATAAATTGAATCATCGCGAGTTTGTGTAGTGAAACAAAAAAGAATTTTGCCAAAAAAAAAGTACCAAATACCAACCGAGCAGCCAAGGAAAAAGAGCAACCCACCAACAAAAGAATAACCAAGCGTAATAATATAAACATAAAATAAAGAAATCAGGATATGGAACAGATCTGGCACAAAGTTTGCAAGCACTACGATGTGCCCGAGCAGGTGGCCACCACCTGGTATAAACGCATTGAGCAACAGCTGAGCGTGGACAGTCCGACCCGTGCTTACCATAACTGGAAAATGATGCAGCGGAAACTTGAGCATCTGGCAGACTGCGCGCCCAGCATCGCGCTGGCCGCATTCTTTCAATACTATCATTTCGATGGAAACCGTAGTTGTGTGCAACAGAATTGCGTGGTTTTCGAGGAGTTTTGTCGTGATGCAATGATTGAGGATGTGAGTAGATATAAGCATTTGACAGTAAAAGATTCAGTTTTGGCATGTTCAGGAGGATGTCAAATCACTAATATGCAATCTACTGGGACGGAAAACACCCGATAATGAGGTAACATGGTGCCATGATGACGAGGCTAACTTGTTGCAAGATGTGGATCTGGTTGTGTTGGCGTAAGATTTGTAAAGCAATAGCATACTATTGACGATAACTGAAATATTATTTTCAAAATTAGCGCTCCACCGGAGGAGTATAAACACTACACGCAGCTGCTACGTTACGAGTATGCGAATATGAGCGATGAGAACTATAAGATGATGCGTGTCAAGGTACTTGAAACTTTGTTACTGATTCCAAGCATATATGCCACGCCCAGCTATCATGAGAAGTACGAGGAACGTGCACGGGCGAATATACGACAGGAGATAAGCGAATTAAAGAAATAGGCATATTAATTTATCGGCTGAAACTTACATACATACTTCTACCTTCAATTTATAAATGTTTTATTCAGGGCTATCGACGGACTAGTTAGTTTTGCTGTTAGTGATTTGTTAAATTTCTTAGCTAGCCAATTTACTTGCAATACTACACATGATTTTTATGATGACTCCAACTGCCCAAAACTTATAATCCGTTTACAGAAAAAAGTCCAATTACAACTAAAAGTCGAGATTATTCAGCTTAATATTAACATAATGTACCTCAGCTTAGGGTATGGTACAATAAAAGCATGTATTGTAAACATAGGATTGCATATACGTAATTGATGTCTGTTAAAAAAAAAAAAGAAAATATGAATAAAGTCAATGTATATAACAAGAAAACAATTGTTTTACTTAAACCATCTCGAAAGAAACTAAGAAATTAATCCGCAGTAAGTACATAAAAGAAATAACAATACAAGGTATAAATGAATTTAATATGAATTTTTTCTTTTGTAATACTAGGCTGCGCCAGCTCATATGCCAGAAGCGCGATCAGCATTCAAAAAGTTTAAAGACAACCAAATGAAGGTATAGTATCCATTTTATTATATTCTGGTATACTCGCTCTTAATATTATAACCTTTTCGCATTTAAGAAATCACCAAAGCGATTGCAGAACAAAAATAAGCATGGAGGGAAAAAAAATTTACAAAATCGCACCTATATGCAGAAGTTGCTGAGCTCTATAAAGCGTCGCACAGGATTAACTCCACAGCGATCGTGTAAAACACATATCAAAAGGAAGTTAGACTTTCAAGCACAAGGGAAAAAACAAAAAGAGACTGTAAATGAGCTGCCAAAACCAAAATTTTATCCTTCGAAGGAGGTAAATACTTAGAGTTTTGGTTTTTAAAACCTTCGCTTTGGTAACAAAAATTGTGAATGTTAGGAAAGTTTATGAAGTTAGCATAGTTTACTCATGCTTTTTTAAACAACAGTACTGCGAGAAAGTAAATCGCCTTGAAGACACCATTGAAGACGGAGAAATCCTAGAAGACCAACAGGCGTCAAATCTTAGTGATGACGATGATTGCGTGATTATACATACTCCTTCACTAGAAAAAATAGTATTAGAGGATACCGACGATGATGATGAAGTCCAACATGAGAAGCCGATGACAAGTAATCAAGCTAGGGGTGTCGTCGATAATTTGCTGTATCAAGACCGCAAACGCAGCAACGACATGCTATTTAAGCCCAAGGGAATTAAGGGTTTGTTGTATAACACAATATCATCAAATTGTGTCAATTCTCCGAACTCTTTAAAAACTAACAATAGCAAGTGCATTGTTATTGACGATAATTGTGACAATTCAGTTATTTTTGTTGGTGAGTGTACAGCAGCTGATTTTATAGCCCTTCCCCCAGATGATCCAAAACCGCCTCGTCGTAAAATCGATGTTTCAAAAAAATTAAAAAACTCGCTTAAAAGTGATGACATATATACCACCGTCGAAAAACGTCAACTAAATGCGTATAATAGCAATACGTATAATCCATCGGCTGCTGAAGATAAGCCAGCCAGCGGAAAGCGTCCCATCTTAATCGATGGGAGCAATGTGGCTTTCGCGTAAGTAGTGTTCAAATATAATTCCTATATGCATTTTATTTTGCGGCTTGCCACATACAGACATGGCTGCTCAAATGTTTATTCCACCGAAGGTATTAAATACTGCATTGAATATTTTGAGAAAATGGGCCACGATGTGAAGGCTGTTGTGCCAATGTTCCGCAGAAATCCCGAGAAGTCCTCAAATCCTGAACTTCTAGACAAATTGCATAAAGCGAAGAAGGTGGTGTTTACGCCCTGTAAAAATATACCTGGTCAAAAGTCTGCTTCCTATGATGATCGGTGTGTATTTTATCACTTATCTAAAGATTCACTTATATGTTAAATGCTCGATCATTTTTTCAGCTTTATATTGCAACTGGCATATGAGATTAACGCAGCAGTTGTGTCAAACGACAACTATCGAGATTTAATAAATGAAAGTCCAGCTTTTAAGAAAATTATCGAAAATCGCGTGATTGGCTACACATTTTGTAATGACATTTTCATATTACCAAAGGACCCATACGGACGTTGGGGACCTACATTGGATCAAATTTTAAAATATTAACAAGTCAGTTAGTTAGGATATTCTGTAATTTAGATAACTCTATTTTTCGATTTATCCTTTTGGAAAAAAATTTAAGTTTATTTAGTTCTATTAGTTTATTCCCGTAAACAACACTTTATGCTTTCAATTTTTTTTTGTTGGTTTTTTAAAATTAAAGTTAGATCAGCTATATTTCAATCTGATGTATTATTAACTATAAATATTAAATAATGGTGTGAAAAAGCATAAATTTTTTAGTGGTTTACAAAACAGATGGCCAGCTCTAAACTATTGGCATATTACTATTATTCACAACAACTGTTGTGCTCATTGTGCTAGGTGGCACGTAAGCTGGTGGTTCTCCATATCCTTCAGTCAAATTGGGATTACTGCACTCCAAGTTAGTTGCAATAGTGAGCGTGGATCCGTCATTGCAAAGGGCTGGATTAAATTGTTTGCTGTCGCTGTTCAGGGCAACCTCATCGTATGTTGGGGGCAAGTCCAAATTTTTGCTGACAGTGTGTTCGTTGCTCATGACAACCCCGTTTCCAACGCCAGGGGGACCGTTAACATTGTTATTATTGCTTATCGTTATCTCCATTTGTCGCCGTGCTGTAAGAATTTAAAAAATTGAAACACGAATTGAAAAAAAGTTGATATGTAGTTGTGGCATAGTTTGGTAAATCGGTATTTCGGCGCGCATTTGTAAATCTGTTCCCAATATTTGATTTGTACCTTTATAATCAACACATAAACCATTGTGAAAGAAGGTTCTACCAACAATTTTACCGGGAAGGTTTACGCGCACTTCCTAAATAAACCAGTCAGCATCAAGTTTGCTCAAATGGATTTTTGTTGTTGTTAAATATTGGAATTTTATTAAAACCAACTTGAACTTTGCCGAAGAGAATTGCTTTCATTTAAATTTAAAATTATTTTTCAGTTACAGTTCACAGCGAGTGCGCATTAAACACAGCTAGCGGCAGCATGTCAGCTGGCACTTACTGGTCAGTTACTCGTTGGCGCTCGCACGTTGCATTCCAAGGTATGTTGATTTTGCGTGTGACGACATCGAACAGCTGATCGTGTCACAAATCGTAGACTAACTTGACTAAATACATTTCAAATACTTAGAGTGAAAAAGGCCTTGGCGCCAAACTAACGTGCGCGCAGATATTGTAAGCGAAATTGTTTGATTACGTTTGGTGACCACATTAGTCATTTGTGTGTATGTTTTTATGTAATAGGGGAGCGCAAACATTAAAATTCGTTTTGGTGACGCGTCATCGAAAAGGTGAAAGTTTCGTTTGCGATAATAAATTAGTTAATTGGGAGTTCAAAAGCGTTCACAGCTACTTACAAAGCTGTACGAAGAGTGCAACAGGTTTTCAAATTCTTCTACTAGGAAAGCCACAATCATGAGCGACAAATAAAAAGTGCGGAATCAGCACGGAAAAATCATGATTTTTTTTTTTGGTTGGTTACTTTACGTTGCATTTTTAAAGCAAGATCGTCAGTAATTGTTAGGGAACATAATTGCGAAAGGTTAAGCATGGCAACACAACAGCGCGTAAATTGACACTAAAGACATTCGACAACCTGTTGACTTAACGCTTCACCGCACATTTCTCTGTAAACATGCACATATGTATGTTCGTATATACATACATGTCTATGTACTCGTATGTATGTTAGCGCGTCGAATCTACGCCCTTAAAATAATGTAAAACAATCTTGTCTTTGTAGCCGACCCGTGCAGTTTGTGCCATAAATGTTGCGACGCGTGCTCGGCTATAGTGCCCTCGGGGCGGGTCTTGTGAGCACGGGACTGAGTCTGCATACCAATGATTATGATGTTAATTCACTGGGCATTGTGCGATTGTCCCGCTCCGCCGCTGCCGTTGTCGACGTCGTCCTCACGTATAAACGGGAGCTTTACTATCGAGAGTGGGATAAAACGACGCCGGAGTATAAGGCCGAGAAGAGTCGAGCGCACAAATTAGCCGCTGAGAAGCTGTTGCAGCTGATATGCACCAATAAGGGAGTCTACATTAAGGTTGGCCAGCATATTGGCGCACTGGAGTATTTGCTGCCGAAGGAGTTTGTGCAGACTATGAAAGTTTTGCACTCAGATGCGCCGCAAAATCCCATCGAGGATCTATACAAAGTGATACGCCAGGATTTGAAATGCAATCCAGAGGACATATTCGATAACTTCGAGCGGGAGCCCCTCGGTACAGCATCACTAGCTCAGGTGCATAAAGCTCGCCTGAAAACGGGTGAGGTGGTCGCCGTTAAAGTGCAGCATCCTTATGTGAAGGGCAACTCACGAGTGGACATGAAGACCATGGAACTGGCTGTGAAAGTGTTGGCGCGCATATTTCCTGACTTCAAGATACAATGGTTGGTCGAGGAGTCGAAAAAGAATCTGCCCATCGAGTTGGACTTTCTTAATGAGGGTCGCAACGCCGAGAAGGTGGCTAAGCAATTTGAAAAGTATACTTGGCTGCGTGTTCCTAAAATATACTGGCACTTAAGCACAGCACGCGTCCTGGTAATGGAGTATCTGGAAGGTGGCCACGTGACAGACTTGGATTACATTAAACAGCACAAGATTGACCCGATTGCAGTATCCAATAAAATCGGAAAACTCTATTCGGAAATGATATTCTCAACTGGCTTTGTGCACAGTGATCCGCATCCTGGCAACATACTTGTGCGTCGGACACCCAAGCACAATGTGGAAATCATTCTACTGGATCATGGACTTTATGCAAACTTAAGTGACAAATTTCGCTATGAGTACTCCAACCTTTGGTTAAGTATACTGAACGTCGATCGACAAGCAATGCGTAAGCACAGCGCAAATCTGGGCATCAAGGGTGATCTGTACGGCCTATTCGCTTGCATGGTGACTGGACGGCCCTGGGAGACACTGCTGCAGGGCATCAACAAAGTCAAGTATTCCAAGGCGGAGGTAAGCTTATCCAAGGATTGTAATTGCCTTCATTTTAAAAATCACACATTTGTTGTATTTTTGCAGAAAAATACGTTGCAGAACAACACATCGCTGGTGTTACCTCACATTTCGGACGTGCTGGAACAGGTCGATCGCCAGATGTTGCTCATACTTAAGACCAACGACCTAATACGCGGCATTGAGTCTACACTTGGCACACAGAATCGCATGACCGCCTTCTGGGTCATGTCCAAGTGTTGTGTGCAGTCGTCCTATGCAGAGAAGCGGGAACTTAAACAGACACAACGCTGGCGACTGCTGTTTCGCGAACGCTGGGAACTATTCAAATTGAACATCTACTATCTGTACCTGGGCCTAATCAACTTTGGCTTCCTAACGGCACTCAAAGAGGTTTTATAGGACCTCAATTTTATTTCAAAGCTAGATGTAATTTCTTTGGTTGTGCAATGCTAGGGATTTGTTTGAGCTGGGATTATTTATTAAAGTACAAATTTGAGGTACGTTTCTACAATTACCTTGTTGTCTTTGCAAAATTATTGCTCGCTCAGTCATTTGACGTCGACGCCGCGCAGACTATACATAAAAATATGAATCGTTGTTAGCACGGATAGCTATGTAAGTGAAGAAGAACTAATGAACCTTACCAAGGTGACAATTAGTGGGAAAACTATAATAAAAACGAATACAAACACTGCCCAGTATACCCAGACTGGATAGTAGTAGTAGTCCCAATCGTATATTGTTGCTTCAGTTGTCCATGGGTAATTAAATATAACACTATTATTGTTGGTTATGATCTGCAGAGGTTCCACTGTGGTCGTGGTGCTCACAGTTGAGGCAACTGTGGTGGTTACATCCACGACCGTAGAAGCCATTTCAACTGTTATATTTGGACCCGGTTATGTCGTTTGTTTTGCGATTTTCTACTAGAATTGAATTCGCATTCAATTACCACGAAACGCCCGTGTTGGCCAATTTGTTTTAATATACTGACTGGACATGAAGTCAAAGGCAAAATTGATGGCCTGGTGCGATCATAATGTATGTATATATACATATTTACACTAAGAACATTTTTGCTCACCTCAGTAACAATCTTATATATAAATAGAATGCGTATGGAATTATAAATAATATGCATAGGTCCTCAGTATAATCAATAATCAATCAATCAATGCCTTATATATCTTATATTCGCACAAGTTATTCATTTCAGAAAAAATGTCATTTTTATATTTGCAGTTCCAAATCAATTCTTTACATAGGCACAACTCCCTTACAATTTTAATAGAGTTTTCTATTTTCTCTGAGTGCACGCGCACATTTAGTTACAAATATTTGCGTAGAAATACATATCTAGTATTTATTTTGTAATCGTTTGCTGATAATGAAACAAAAAGGTAATGCCTAGCCTGGGCTTAGACAGCCTACGATTTCTGCAAACCGAAGGTGAATTTTATCTAATGAAGTACACTGATAGATGTGTGCGCAAAATAGATAAGATACAATAACTTATAGATACAAAAATATGGCCACATGATTCATGACTGATTTGCAGGGCTCTGGCCGAGTGCGTTTACTTTTATGTATCACTTTAATAGCCACATTTGTGTATTTACACTCACCTTGTTCAGCTTCGAGCAAGTGTTTGAGATGTCGCGACAACATATAGGAACGATAATTTATCAAAGCAATCTGTAAGTATAATAGATGCCGCCGTGATCGGGACTCGAATGTCTAGAAATCTACAGAAAACTCACTCGAATAAAGAAAATGGCAAAGCAAATTATTGCCAAGGCTATAAGGACGGCGCCGAGATCATCCATGTCAACGTAGGTTTTATAATTTTGTTTCTCTTTTTCTTTAATTTTATATACAAATACATATATCTATGTGCATATGTGTGTATGTAGTTTGTTTATTTACTTTGTGAACTAACACTTTTTAAACGCGGCTATTTTTTTATATTTTCGTTTTCTGATTCACTTTCCCACTGAGAGGGTTTTACTGAGATAAGATATGGCTAAGATATTAATTGCTTTTTAATGCCAAAGTCATGGTGATATTAAAAAATAAAAAAATCACCGTTTCAATTCAAGTTGCATATCACGTATTTAGAGAAAGCATTCTAATGAAACATTGTCGAAGCTTTTGCAACACTTTTAAACCAGGCCAGAGTTAGTTACCAACTACGAGAGGAATTTAATGCCGACGCCCATTCCGAACAATCTCTCTGCTTCTTATCGCGCAACTTCAATGGGGAGATTGCAGTTGTTGTGTTATCAAAAACGACGCCAACCACAACAAATATTGAGAGTAAAGGTGCCGTTAGACATGCCCACATCACTCCATACTCGTATAATACCAGTACGTAAATTATCGTATATATGTGACTTTTGGTTGGTCGGTAATTATACACGCATTAGGTTCAGGAATGATGCGATGCCAGGTGACTGATCTGGTGTCTGGTCGAGTTGTTGACAAGCATTTTGTTGTTATACATATCTAGTATACTATATCTTGCCGATCACCTTGACCGAGTCAAGTGCAAATGTGTCAACTGAATCTCTTTTGTTTCGTTTCTGTTTTCGCAAGAGTTCACTGTGCTTGCGAATAATGAGAGCGTGACTGCAACACACAATTTTTTAATCCTTTTGCCTGGCTTAGAACTGCACTGATAACGCCTGTGTATTTGTGTGTGTGTGTGTGTGTGTGTGGGGCATGTGGAAACTTGATAGCCACGCATCAAGTTGAAAAAGACAGCTCGCATGCCAGTTGGGCTTAAATTAAGCTACGCGGATTTTATGGCATTGTGCGCAGAATTGAAATGCGTGCTATGCCAACTTGAATTACGAAGCAACATTAATTTGGCAACTTGATGCCTAAGTTTTTCTCCTAGCATCTAATCTTTACACTTTATACTCATTTTCACATTCGCTTTTAACACTTTCCAGTTTCAACATTAAAGGCTTCCTTTATTTTATTAGAGGCTTGCTCTTCCACTTCCACTTCGTATCGATGCCACATCGTGTCAGACACATATATCTATACATTTCGCCGTAATGACATTAAGACCTTGTAGTTGAAAATGTATATCAATTATTTGTACATCCAATAAGAAAAATAGGGCCTCATTTTAAGTCATGGTCAGGAAGGCAAATATCTTCAGAACCAATAAGTTAAATTTTTGGAGGTCATGACAAGTCAATCGTAAAAATATTTTTCATTCATAACTTTGAGAAATCGAGGAATTCACTAATATCCTTGTTAGGGGATTATCTATGCATTTTCATCATGATTTAAACATGTTAAATTTTATTCAATTTTAACCAATAAGTTAAATTTTTGGAGGTCATGACAAGTCATCGTAAAAAGATTATTACCAAGAATCGCAAATAATTATCATTCACTTATAATAACTTTGAGAAATCGAGGAATTCACTAATATCCTTGTTAGGGGATTATCTATGCATTTTCATCATGATTTAAACATTTTAAATTTGATTCATTTTCTCAAAATTGAATGAATAATTTTGATTTTTACTTTACAATTTAACCAATAATAAGTGTTTTTGAGAAAAAAAAATTAAAACGGATTAAATAATGATTATTCTTTGAGTTTTATTTATTTTATCAAAAATAAAACTCAAGTTGTAATTTTGCCTGAAAGTATTTTTTTTAGCCCAAAACTGTACTATAGGGGTGTCTTGCTTATTATTATTTATTATTTATAGCAATAACATTATAGTATATACATTTTGTTCTTAGTCGTTCTGAAAAAGGCAGGGTAATTTGCAAAATGAGGTTTGTTAAAGAATAATCATTTAATGAAATTTTTATTTTTGCTCAAAAAATAATGATTATTAGTTAAGTTGAAAAGTAAAACTCAAAATCAATCATTGTATTATAATAACAAAATAATAATAATAATGATTACAGACCATGATTTTTAGTATGCAATTTGAATTATTAATCTGTCTACTAATTATTTCCCAAATGAAAAACAGGAGTGCGCGCTTGCTGGAAACCTTTTGTACACATTTCGTACACCTATTTTTGCTTTCCAAAAATGCAAAATTTTTAAGGTTTATTTACCGAAAAGTCAAATATACGGGGCGAACTGCGAATTACTAGAAACTTTAAACGAAAATTTGAATATTATTATAGACATCTACACGAAAACGATCAACGATAATGCAGCTGGGTATTATTTGTCTGGGGATGAAAATGGAAAGTTATTGATATCAAGTAAAGCATTGCAGGCATTAAACATCGAACTCAGATATTGAATCAATGATATATGTTACTCAACTAAACCCACTTACCAGCATACTTATATATGTTGCATACAAAGAGTAAGTCTCTACTTCAGCTTGTCTCTACTTTTGCGCTTTCTATTTTAAATTGTTATCATAATATTATCATTGAGGCTTTTGTAGAAATTTTGTTTGCGTTGAATGCCTTCGTAATTAATAAGAAATGCGTAGGTTTTGTTATGTTTTCTATGCTTTAAGGTATTTCCAGTAAATGATTAAATAATTTTCCATCCTTGTAGCTTCCTCTAAACACGTTTTGTAATAAACAAACAACTATATGCATAAACTGTTATCTTTTCTGTATTATTGTGTGATTGATTTAAATAAATTAAAAGTCATTTTTGACACAACACAGAGATTGGTTTTAGTTTTTATTACTGACATCAACTGTTTAAATATTTAATCGCATTCCATTACATACGTATGCATATAATTTTACTGTTATGTAGATTTCATAATATACTCTTAGCTAGTAATTAGCTGCAATTTATGTGAAATTATAATCAATTACAATAAATTGCCTAATTGTTAAATTAATTTACACATTCGTACTTTACGTAAGTTGGCACAGTTGTTTTTTTTTGAGTTCACTTGTATACCCTATAGTTATAATAAATTTCACATGCTCAGCAAAAAAAAAAAAAAAAAACTAAACACAAAAGATAGCATTGTTTGAAAAAGTAGCAAATACATTATGTTTAGCCTTGCATTTCATTTGGAAACATGTCAATTAATTTTAAATGAACTTAATGAAAGTTTCTTTTTAATTGCCTCTATTTGCTATGCAGTTTTTTTTTTAAAACAATAATCACGCTTTGCTGTAATTCATTTATATTATTGGGGCTCTTATTCACTGCTTTTGTATGTAAATGGTCGTGAATATTTAATTATTATTAATGGGTCGCCCATACAATTTGCATTTTAAATTGTAATTAATTCTTTTACCATACTTAATCATGATGACACGTCTGTGCGCAATTAACTGTAACTATCTATATATATAGTATATGAAATGTTGCTACGTACATTATTTTTCTTTCACCATCCTTTTGAGCGTAACTTTAATGCCATTTCATTTCCGCATTTTATTCTACGGATGCCGAATTAAGCCTCGGGCTGTAATTGTTTGCAAATCTGCAGTATTTGTTTAGTGGGACTTTGGCATGTTGAATTTAAACGAAAATCAAAATGAAAAGCAAATAATACTAGTTTTCCCTTTGCGTAGGAATAGGCTATATATTTGATGTTGCCCCAACTAATGGCAAGGTGTCAGATCCATTCATGGGCTTTTGTAGTTTTAATTTAATTAGCTGTCTATGATGAAGCTTTGTTTGTTTTTGACGTTCATTTCGTATGTATTTGTGTATGTGTGTGTGTATGGTAAATGTTTAAATAGTCGAAATGCCTCTGGGAACTGTAAAGAGAGAAAAAAATTATTAAATTGTGGTTTCATGAAATATTTATATGCAATTGGCAATGCATAACTGCATAACAAGTGTTGCGTAAAAATCATAAAACAGAATTCATTTAAATGCCTTAAACACACATATATACATGTATATACACATAAATATACACACATATATGCGTGTTATTATGTTTTTCATTTTACTGCTCCTTACAGACGGAGAAGTCAAGCAAATGTGATTTTTCCTCATAAAATATTCATAGGAACTTTTTGCGTAAAAAAGCTGTCATGTCTTCTGCTTTCATTGTATGTATGTGTGAGGGTGTTTAAATTATGATTTTTAAAGGCAATTCCATTTAAATTGAAGTAATATACACAATTACTTACATAACACTTTCTTTCCATACAACAAATAGAGAATAGCCATTGATTTTAAATCCCAACGTTAGTTATTTTAGTTGGAAATAGAGTTAGAACGATTGCAAACCTTAACAGACCAATTATTTTTAAAGAAAGGAATTGGAGGAAATTATTAAAAGGGTTAACAGCTTTCTTAACCTCATTGATGTTTGTACTCCCTTAATTATTTAAAAAATCTTGTCGGAACAAGCGAAAACAAACCACTATAAAACCAGAGTAACTTAATAAAAAAATGCACAAATCTCTCCGCTACGTGGCAGACTATACTTCGCCTTAACCTCAGAAGTATTATATAATGAGAGTCGAACATTATTTAAAACTAAAACGAAATATTGTAATTTGTAGTTAGTAGCTTTTTTACAACACAAAGCTCTTCGTTTCCAAACATAGACTAATTTTTGAAATTTTGAGTAAAACATTTATCCCATATTTTGCTTATTTTAGCCGTAATTTTACCCCACTCCCGTGTCGAATTTTGCAACAACCGGTATCCAAATTACAACATTAAATATAGCTCTAAAACTAAATGTTTTTACATTTTTCAAAAATGTTTGAATAAATACATATCAATCCATATCTTCAGAGTATTAAATACCTTTATTTAATTAATTATTAAATATGCTATTTATAGGCAATATAAATATATTTATATAAACGACAGTTTCTATTTACAGAACAATGTGAGCGCAGGTGAAGTTTTAATTAATGAATAGGCAAAGTTTGGGCTGCTTGTTAATAATAGTTATGTGTTGATTTTGTGTTTACAATGTAAACTGAAATGTCAAACATATAAAGCCTTAATCAAACAGGCAGCGACAAAGTAAACACCCGCATGCACACACACACATACACACTTACTTTGTAAGGTAAACTGTAGGAATTGTTACAGAAACACGGCACAAATCAATTTGCATAAGGATTCAACTTTGTAGCTTGGTACATAGACGAAACTTACTTTGCGCTGTATTTTATATCACGCGTGTGTGTGTACGAGTGATTGTGTGTGTGTGTATGTGTGGGTTGTATTAAATTTGAAATTCAAATTTATGAAACTAGACCAGACGAGCCGAGCGTTGATTTTTCAACCACACAAAACTAATTTAAATAGCATGTGACTGGGACAGAGAAAGAGCAATCCCCTGCAGTTCTGCTGGTTTTCCAATTATGCGACGGAATTATTTGTAGAAAGAGTTTAATCATCGTAGCAGTACATTTGCCAGATTCAATCGCTTGGCACGATGACTATCTTTAATTCCTTAATCACTGCAAGGCAACAAATTTGACTTATTTTACTTGAAAAGTCATTTATATTGCTTTCATTTTTCAGTGTAATTTGTTAAATGCTAAGAAGCACAAAAAAGAGTTGCTTGTGCAAAGAAATTGGTTCTAAAAAATACGTTTTTTTCATTTCTATTATATTAAAAAAACAGATTATGCAGATTGAATCAGTTTTTGGTTGCTGGATATTAATAAAGCTTGGTCAGTCAGCCTGCCAGTTTACAGAAGATCATAATTTCTTACAAAATAAACGGCAATTCTAATCATGGCGTTTATCTTCAGATGAAATATTGTAAAGAATTGATGTGCCTGCCTTCGGTCCATCGAACTACAGGGGAGTTACTCACACATGCACACATTTGTGGCTTTTGCTTAATGCTTTAACAATTAGATAGCATACTTTTTGGAAGCTCTACCCATGGCGGAATTTGCGTGTGTACGTATGTATGTGTGTGTGTTAGTGTGCTTGTGTGTATGTGTATAAAGTGTTAAAACTGTAATAAAACTTTTTGTGCTTTTATGTGGTGCAAATTTTAGAGCAGGCTGCTTGGGCTTGGGTTGACTTTGTGGCCGCCGCTTGTTGGAATTCATTCAACTGGAATCAAGTTGTTAGCACAATTAGTGAATGCGTATGTGTGTGTGTGTATGTCTGTATCTGTGAGGCATTGCGGTTTTCATTATCGAAACGTGCCTCATTTCGCCATGAATGTTAAGTAAAATTAATTGCACGTCTTTGGGTGGGGGGTTTGAGTTTAAGTTTTATTATTGTTGAACATTTGATAAAACACAACACACTGAAAAACTTTTTGAATAATTTCCCTAATAAATTTCGCAAATATTGCTGTTTTCTGCTCCGCTTATAAAATATGCCGTACTTAGCAAAAGAAAATCCACGTTATATGCAAACACAGACTGTTAAGACTTATTATAATTTGTAATTAGGGCAAAATACAATTGAAGACATGGTCTTGCTTGCTTTGCCGGAGTAGGTAGGCGGGTGGCTTTGTACTTGGATACATAGTTGTGCGTTGGTTGCGTTTTGAATTTGAAATTTTAATTACAAATTTAAGATGCTGCCAAATATTGGCAAGGCTGAATTGATCCGAGCTGCCTCCATTTCACGGGCTATAAATGAGGCCTTCCTGTCGCTTTAAGTTCTCATTTAACAGTAAACACACAAAAAACCAAAGTTGAGCGAAACAGTGTAGTGTGGGGAAGGGGCTGGGCGGCAAGGGAAAACCGCTTTATTAAAAGAGGTCAAAGTTACAAGCGTCGAGCAAGTGGAAAATGTTGAACAATAAAGTTTAATGAATTACAATTTACGTCGGACGCTGAATGCTGCCATGTAACGGTAGCTGCTGCCATTTGCAAAATCCTTGCAGTAATAAGGCAAAGGAAGCAGGGAGGCAAAAAATAAAGCACAAAAAAAAAACAGCCAAAGTAAAAAGGAAATGAAAATATGTCGACGGAAATGAGCATTGACGCCTTTGGCTGTGGGCTGTGGCCACCATTCAGTACGGAGGATGAACGACTGTGACTTTTTCAGTCACATGCGCTGATTTGCTTTAACGGACCTTAATTTGCCATTTCGTCATTGTCTCTAAAAGTCGTCCGAGGCCGCAGAAGGAGCAGTAAATGAGGCGGTCGAGGTAGAGGAAGCGACCAAATCTGCCAAGCAAACAGCATGTATTGTCAACAATTTGTATTGTTTGGTATTTTTCACAGACACACACACACGCACAGTTGTGCTGTAAAATAATACCAAAGCAAATATTTATTTATTTACTTTCAAACGAAAATGTGTGCGCTTGAAACCCCTTTGGGCAGCCAAAACGTTATAAATTATCATCAGCAAATGCTTCGATGTACGTCTGTGGCTCTCCGTCTGTGTGTCTCTGTGTCTGTGTGTGTGTGTAAGCTACCCTTACAATTTCAAATTGCGACATTCCCAAGTGGCGCTTTGGCTGCCATTTTGCTTTGGTCCTGTTTTAGTCTGGCCTGCAGTCGCGTAGGTAATGCGGCATTAATTAAATCAAGCATCATTAAGCAGCCCTGTTCAGTGGCAGCGACAAGGCGGTGTGGGCGTGGTCTCCAGTGGGCGTCTAGTGGTTTCGAATTTAACGGCAATTGCACTTAGTTTTGTAGCTGTATGTGTATGTGTGTGTGTGTACTCGTGGTAAATTGAAAAACTTCAACTTATCTGCAGTTGGTGCCTAAAAGTATGCAATGCAAAATTATTGCCTCCTGTTTTAGACAGAAATGGAAACTAGCGGATAAATGTAGAAGTGATAAGCGCTCCAATTAAATATTAGTTTTGCCAAATTTCCTGATATGCACAGATTCTGGCAAACTTTTAATCGATTCAGCTATTCATACTTTATCACGGTGGAGCTGAGAATTATTATTTAAAAAATATTCTGAAAATTCATTGCTTAATTTCTTTTTAGAACTAAGTAAGTTTTAAAATTTTTGGATGAGTAGATTTATGGGCATATTAAGGTACTAAATTTAGTTAAAATATGAAAAGAAAGAAGTTAATTTTTGTAAATATGATTTTCAAAATGTGAATTTATGGGTGGGCTACACTTATTTTTAAAACTGATACAAATATTTGTTTTTTTCTAGATTTTTGTGAGCCCGCAATCTAAATTTGTTGGCATAGCTAAGTATGTAGATATTTAATTTTTTTCATTAATACAGACAAAACCACCGACTGTTTTAGCCATAATATATAAATTTTTAAAATTTTTGGATGAGTAGATTTATGGGCATATTAAGGTACTAAATTTAGTTAAAATATGAAAAGAAAGAAGTTAATTTTTGTAAATATTATTTTCAAAATGTGAATTTATGGGTGGGCTACACTTATTTTTAAAACTGATACAAAGATTTGTTTTTTTCTAGATTTTTGTGAGCCCGCAATCTAAATTTTTTGGCATAGCTAAGTATGTAGATATTTAAATTTTTTCATTAATACAGACAAAACCACCGACTGTTTTAGCCATAATATATAAATTTCTTAATGCTTTAATGATTCTAAGTATTATATACGTACATTCCCAACAGTATAGTTCACCCTTCCCCCTCCCCTTGCTTTCTCTCTTCGAGTATATTATGTTTCGTGTTAATAAGGGAAATGTAACACAATTGTTTAGTGCAGAGGCTTAAAATGTCCTACTTTTTCTTGAAATTACTAGAATAAGGGATTCTCATTAATATTAACGTTGCTTTCGCCCTTCCACTACATTGACTCAAATGGCTGCCCTCCTGCCCCATACTTGGTAATATGCATGAACATTTTTTGCTCATTGTTGGAAAGTTATCTGCACAATTTTTTGTACTCGTCTTAAGCTTTGTCTTTGCTGCGTGCTGGCACTTGGCGGGCGCTTATGCAATTTAGTGCCCGCTTGGCAAAGTGCCCACAAGGCTAGAGCTGGCTGGGACATAGACGCAGACACAGGCAACTTGTTTCGCATTGCTCCGGCTTCTGGGCTTTAAGTAACAGTGCGCTGCTGCTGTTTAGTATGCTGGGCGCACAGCTGGAAAAATCGAAGGCGTGCACTTGATGTTGGTGTGTGTGTGTGTATGCGAGTGTGTGTAGCAAATGCACTTCGACGAAGATTACGGCGGCATTCACACGCACACATACTCGCATTGCTCCATTGAGCCCTTAGGCTTAGTTGGGCCTTACGTATGCCGTCTATTTATTGCCCTGTCGCTTGTTCAGTCATTTTTCACTTTCGTGGATTTACCGAGCGCTTTAAATTTCATTTGGCCAAACCCAATGAGACTTTAAGCATTTGCTTGTGCTCCTATAGCGGCAATGAATATTTTATTGTTTGCTATCATTCAATTTGAATTTGAATTTTTTTTTTCATTTAATTTCTTCGGAAATGCATTTGTGCGATCAAAAAAGTGCAGCCTGAAATGTAAAAATGTTTCGCATATTTCTTTGTACTCGTAAAATATGGAAATTGCTTTTGTGTTTGTAGTATACAAAATCAAAATTTGTTAGCACTGGCCTCACTTTGTATGCAGCTTGCCAAAACCGAATACAAATGGGTTTGGGGGGGAAAAACAACCGTCTATAAAAACAATTGCAATAAAATGACCAGCCCGATGGTCATTTACCACTGCCAGTGGTTCTCGCAGTGGCGCCACTTTTGCCCGACTCTGCTGGGCGCAGCATGACATTTGTGCATTGCCAACTCAGCGGCGGCTTTCTGGTTTTATATAAAATTCAATTTGATGCGCTTTGCTGTGCTGTGAGATTTCAAATCGTTATCTGGTTTTATTGCGAGGTCCGCACTATAAATAATTACTTTTAAAATAGAACTGTTTGGGTATGATGCAAGAATTTTGTCGATTCGATTTATTCGGTGCTTCTATCATGGTCGATTTGAATGTGTTTTACATATTGTTTTCGGCTTTAATGTATGCCTAGTTTATGTCGCAAACATTTCTTTCACTTTAAATATGTATTAAACTATTAATGAGCACAAGAGGTTTAGAGATCTTCTATTACTTATAAAGAACTCTACTTTTTAAGAGGGAATTTCTCATTTTCACTAAAAATTAACAACCATTGCTTAAGGTTGCTAAAAGCATTCTATTGCATTGGAATTCAGAAGCTGGCACAATAAGCTTTCGAGCTTTGCTATTTAGTGCATTATCGACCTAACGTATACTTAATATCATCAACTAACGACTTGCACTCAGCAAGCCATAGACTGACACATTAACTCATTTTGCTAGAAAATATTATGCATTTACCTCACTTTACGTTAATGGTTCCACGTGTTGTCTTCCTTGCTGCTGCTGCTGCTGCTGCTGGTGGTGGTGCTGGTGTTGCTGTTTCACATCCAACAGACTCAAATCATTGAACGTTTCACAATTTTCCAGCACTTGGCTGCTAGTTACGTTAATTAAATCAAAATCGATGGCAATCTCATGCTTGCCATCATGAACATCAGGAGTCCTGTGCTTTGATGCTGGCAGCAAGCAACTCTGACTCGCATCCTCCTCCTGTAAGTCGGAATTGGGGCTGCTGCTGGTGCTGGTAGGGGTGCTGGTGCTGGCTTTCGGACCCTCATCGATGCACACATTGTTGCACTCATGCTGACAATTAACAGCATAGCATATAGATGAATAGGACGCAGACGTGGCCGGCAGGTCCTGTTGTTCGACATCACAGTTTGCATGATGGCCTGTCGTGTGTTCCTGCTGTTGTTGTTGTCGCTGTCGCTGCTGTTGCATTGTCAACACCATGGCCATGCCAGTCATTGGGCCGGATGTATAATCATCATATTGCTCGTATTGTTCGAACTCATCGTATTCGTCCATGAGCGAGTGCTCCGAATAGCTGTCATCATCGTCGCAATCAAAGTAGCCACTCTGTGAATAAGTTAAGAGGTAAGTGGCAGGTTCTGGTTGCGTGCTCTTAACCACTTATGTAACAAATACGTACCTGACAGTCCAAACAGCGGCAATTATCACAGAGTGTGCAGCTTAGACCCAAAATGTCGGCGGCTTCCTGATACAGTTCGTAGCTGGATTTCGCTGTTTGCTGCTGTTGTTTATATTTCTGTTGTTTATTCTGATCTTGTTGCTGCATCTGTTGTTGTTGTTGTGAATAGTTAGTTAGTTTGTTGCTGTTGCTGTTGCTATTGCTGTTGCCATTATTTATGCTCCAATTGTTCAATTTGCTTTGCTGTTCCATCGTTGACGTTGTCGCCTCGTGATTGTTGTCGTTACCATTTTTCAAACTGTTGCTGTTGTTTCTGTTGCTGTTGCGCTCCTGCACGGCTGAGTGGGCCACAAATGATGCTGGCAACGTTGATGCGGCTTGCCGCTCCGCCTCATTGCTGTCGTGAACAAAATTGAAGTTTATTTAGCTGGCTTTATTGCTCGTTGACTGTTTCTGCCTTGCGGCTGCTTTAACCAAACTAAACGGACGCCCAGTCAACAACAACCCATCACATACCACCCAACAACACCCACGCACCTACGCATACAAATGTAAATTGAGGCGCAGAGCACGAGAAAAAGCGTAGCATGCTTTTAAGCGCAGTGAGAAAATACATTTCATGCGAATTTTAAATTTTAAGTAGTTGCACTTTTTTTACGCCAATTTTAATGGGATATTAAGGAGTATGCAGGACATTAAAACAGACACCCAATCTACTGCTTAAAAGCAGTGCGCCCTGCAGATGAAAAAAGTGAGAGAGAAAAAATGCAAGTGCTAGCAAAGTGTGAAGCAAACTTTAACAATATTGTTGAAGGAATTCTTTGCACTTAACACTAGTTTTTCACGAAACCTCCTGCATTGTTATCATCAACCTAGCTGTGAGAAGTTGTTGAATGTGCATAAAATTCTTGGCCTACCCAATTACAAACTGTGCGCAAAAATGCATTTTACATGACGCAGCACGTTGCAAAAGTTACTAATTAAATGCGCACAAAGCGCTAATAAATCAAAGCGACAACGCCGCCAACTTATAATTAATGAATTTTTCATGAAGACAGCATTTAAGGCACGCTTTGACATAATTATTGCCTGGCAACGGAGCGCTGCATTACAAAGTCTGTGAGTATATGGCTCCGACTACTGCTGGGGTCCTGCATCTTTGTGTTATTGTGTTGGTGTTGATGTCGGGCTTTGGTGCTGGCACTGGCGAAAGCTTCCAAAAAGACCAACTTTGTGCACTTGAAAGTCGTTAGCTTTGTGAAATGCAAACTTGCATATGTATACGTGCATGTACATGTGTGTGTGTTGTAAACGAGCAGAAAAGAAAAAAAAGACATTGTAACTTTGGCGTTAACTTTTTGAGCGCTTGTGGCATGAATGTGTTCAGGAGTTGCAATTGCCGTTGCCGTTGCACGTGCGTGAGCACAGCACACTTGTGTGTTCTTGTACACGAGGGGAAAAATATTAAAATTACATAGTATTCCAAAGTTTTCAAAACCGTCTCTTATAGAGCAGAACTATAAATCATTTAAGGATTATGGACCTTTAATATTAAAATGACGTTTGATTTCGAAATGAGTTTTAGGTTTTTAGTTTTTAGTTTATAATTATATTCATGTTGTTTACAATGTTGCTCAATTGGATAATTTGCACGAATTTTTTATCCAAACAAGTTATGATCGATTGCGAAAAAAAACTTATCTCTTAAAAACAAAATTTTTGTTATTACTGCTGCAGTCTGAAATTAAATTTGCTACAAGTATATGCCACAAGCAAGAAATGTTTTGAAAAGAAAATTTCTCCTACAAATAGCTTGTCCACACATAAATAAGCTTTCCATGCAGATTATCTAATGATAAAATGAGCATTATTCTAAGATTAAAGAAATAACAACAATTTAAATGCTCAACAGAAATGGAACACATTTTAGTCAAACAGTCAAGAACTTTTTTTAATTTGTCTGAGCACGTCGGTGCTACTCTATTTAAAATGTGTAAAATGTTGGAAAATACAAATACTCAATAGATGTTTAAGTAAAATACATAAAAATATGGCGATTATATTGAGCAATTTGCTCGGATGACTTGCTTGATATTGCGAAATAAATACATCACACGGAAACATTCAAATTAAACAATGCTCGAATCCTTTTCAGCTTTTCTCTAAGTGTACATGGCATGTATAGATAGATAGTGTTAGCAACACGCACACCGCTGCTCGTTAGCTATTGAAATATGATTATGGTACTTCAATATTGCGCGAGTATGTATGTATGTGTGTGTGTGCGTGTGTGTTGCATTTTAATCAACGTTATGAGGCAGTACTGTTGTTCTTTTACCATCGGGAGTCGCACCATTTATTGGCATAGTTTTATGAGCGCGTGCAATTTTTCAATTTCGCAAATGACTATGCAAAGCACAGGTTTTAACTGCTAGTGGTAATCAAAAATAATGGCTTCATAAAAAATGCAAATAATTTTGATTGCATTCAAATGCAACAAAGCCGGGTGCACAACTTACATAACGGCATATGCCTAATCTTTGATTGGGGTTAGGGAAATAACTGAAATTAATGGGCTGGTCAAAATAGTCAAATATTTAGTGTACTTCATAAAATTATATCTTATTTGAAATCTGAATTAAGTTCACATGTGAAAGCATTCTACAGAAAGCATTATAGAAATTATAAGAAAAAACCCTTGATTAAGGCTTGTAATCCATTTAGGTGATATTTTATGTATCTTTTCTCATATCTTACAGGTGCAGGCATGGACTGGAAAACTATTGAAGCTTTTGGTATATATGTTATATAATATACAACTGTTAACTATGTGACAAATTTGCTATTTGCTATCACACTTCTATGTAGATTCCCACGTATTTAGCATGTGGGTTCATAGTTCGATGGCAGAGCTTCAGCTTTACTTCTAATTTCAAAATGGATAATAAGTATTATGGGAGTTAAACTACAATCCAATATCTGGGTCAAGTGTTAAGCAAAGGGCAAAGTTAAGGACACTGTCCGGACTGGCATTTCAGTAGTTAATCTTCCTGCAAGCTTGGCGCTATTCATGAAGTAGTCGACGCAAGCGATTGTTAAAATTAAATTGCTGGTGAAAATAAAAATTACTTGCATTTTGGCTTTAGTGTTTTTTGTTTCGCACTAATCTTAATGGAAAATAATTAAGCATATTCCTATTGCAAGGCACGGCATTGGCCAGTAATATTAATCAGTTGTGGAAGTGAGGGCCTATTTTTACTCAATATAATGTTTAATATTAAAAATAATCACTTAATTTAAAAAAAAGGCATTTTTTAAAATAAAATATGAAAATCTCGAAACGTGTGGATGGGTAAACTATTTTCTTTGCCCTTCATTTGGCGGAAAGGCACTTAGAATGCTTTTGAAAGCTAACTTCTAAATATTCTTGCATATTCGAGGGAAAATAAATTTAGAGGACAACTTAAATTTTCGCTTCAACGTTGCTTAAGTGATTTATATTTAAACAGGAAAAATAAATGTTGATAGAAAAATGGAACACTAGTACACATTTTTTACGCTTCATTATATTTATTTTTTTGACATTCTAGCTTTGCAACACATTGGGAAATTTTACATCACGTTTTCAAAGGAAAAACAATATTGATTTGGAATCGGATTTCTCGCAATTACAAGTACAACATGAAACACTTTGATGTGTCGCGGAAGTCATTTGTTTGCAATATAAACATGTGAGTCCCTTTTGTCAGAATCCATTTTAATTATGAAAAAAAAAACTCATTATAGTGCTCAAACACGCTTAGAGAATTTTGCTAAAATCAAAAATATATAATTCATTAAATGAAAAAGTATATATTTCCTAGTCTGTCAACTAGTTATGTACAGCTTATTTTATTCGAAGTGTCATTACTTGGGTTCAAATTTGAAAGAACTTTAAGTACAAGTACAATCAATTTTAGACAGTATATGCCTTCTGCTTTATTCCTGACAACTGACAACAAAGTTGTGGGCTGGTGGCACCGCAAAGATAGCGCTGTGGTGCACAAATTCCGTTGGCCTAATAAAGTTATGCCATAAAAAGTTGTCCGCCGCGTCTTTGTTGCTGCTATATGTGCCCCATAACATTTATGAGAATTTATATAAGTTTTGGCGTCGTCGCTTTCACAGTCGCAGCAAGGACGACAGGGCTCAATATTGCAACTTACCTTCTGCCCAATGCATCCGTTGCAGCTGCCCCGCCTGCCTGTTGTTGCAGCATTTGGTGGTTGCGCCATTTTTCTTCTTCGAGAAATTTCAAAAACTTTGTCTTCTTGGCAATAAGCGTTGATTTGACATTTGTGCATTTTTTCTTATTGCTCACCGAGCCAAGTAGTGCACCTGCTGCCGAGACGTCCTGCACATCGCTGCCAGCGACAATGCCTCTGTGTGCTGCTGCTGCGGCTGCTGTTGTTGCTGCCGCTGTTGCTGTTGCAGTTGCGGCTGACAGGCAGCTTGGCGCACCATTGTTATGGCCGCTGCAGTTGTTGTTGCTATGTTTGTGGTTCTGCTGCTGATTTCTGTGGCTGACATTTTGGCATATGCCGCCACAGCTATTGATGCCACCACTGCCGCCGATACTGCCAATGCCGCCAACGCCAACGCTGCTGCTGCTGCAATTGAACAATTTCTGGAGCGCTGTTGTTGCCGGTGAACACATTGCGGTTGACATTGATGTAGCGACCGGATTTACGTAGCTTGATGACATAGTTGCTGGCATTGTTGTTGCTATCGTCGTTGCCATCATTGTGCAGTGCATTGTTGCTGCCGCTGCCGCCGCTCCTGCTGCTACTGCTGCTACTGCTGTCGCTGTTGTTGAGCTGCTCGCAAAACTTTTTAATTTATGTTGCAAGTTGCATGGCCCACTCGTGCAACTTGGTGCCTCGATTGGTTGTCTCGCTGTCTTGCTGCAATTTATTTCGCGCTGATTTGGCACGCCCTCCAAGTGCGCATAAGAGCCAAAGTCCTGCAATGTCAAACAAAAGAAAGCCCAGTCGACAGTTTAGTTATCGTCTCCATACTATAATCCATATACTTTCGAGTCCAACTTACACTATATGCATTGTAGCTGGCATTCAGAACGTAAATAGAGTTTTGATTGCTGCACTGATAGACCACGTCGTCCATTGTATGGCCTACACATAGAAAATAAGTGCGAAAACGCTTTTAGTTATAACATTGTGAAGTCTTTCCGTACAAGTAAATACGTGAAGTGTGCGTGCGTTTCTTATGTCCTCTAACAGTATAACTGCATGTAAGTGGTGTACAAATGCGTGACACGCTCTATGTTATAGGCACAGCATGATAAGACGGACGTTAAACATACATGTAGAAGCTAGAGGCACGATACGGGGCTTATTACAAGTTTATTACAAAACCTATATAGCCTCATTATTATAAATAACTGACTGATATGTGGACAAATTCCTATTGGGTAGAATGACATTATTGTTTATGAAGATGTGTAACAATATAAATGGATTCAAAGGCATCGAAGGTGTAAGAAACTGTTTCTGATTCTCCAATGAAATGTTAATTAGCTATCGAAAATGTATTAGTTGTACAAATTTATATATTTGGTTTTAAGTGTGGATATGGTATACATATAACAATCCTCACTGCCAGTTTACTCTATTATATTTTAGATTAAATAAAATGTTATAAAATATGGTGGATATGCCATAAATTAAAATCTGCAAAGTTTTGTAAAATCTCCATTTTTTGTTAGCCGGGCATTCAAATGTTGTGGTGACGAATGCTTTTTTTTTTCTGTTAATTTTTTTTTTTAAGAAAACAGGAGGGCTATGCTAATTTGAATATTTCGATTTATACAAAAAGACATTAAATAAAAACATAAATGGAGACAGGCGGACAGACAATGCTATATCGACTCGTGTTGTCAGTACGATCAAGAAAATATATTCTTCGGGGTCTACCTCACCTTTTTCTGTGTGTTACATACATTCTCATTAAGCTTTTACCATTTTGGTACAGAATTATAAAAGGTATATAAAAGGTCAATTATAAAAGAATCCTTCGATTCGTTCAGAAAGTTGAAGACTAAAGATTCATTCCTTATTAATTTTCAACTAGCTTCAGCTTAAGCCGGTAGCAGGATAATGGTTTAATAAATTGAAATATTGATTGGAATTATTTTATGTGGTAATTACTTTCAGAACTTGGCCTTACATATTACGATTAGATATAGCTGATACTGCTTAATCAGATAACAACAGCATAAGGCTGATGAAGGGGAACAACTGTTTACAACATCATCTCTTGCCGATAGCTGCGGTAGTGAAAAAATGTACATATCTGTTCGACTGGGATTAAGAATAAGGTGCATACTATATATAGTAATATACAATCTCTAAATGAAGTACAATATAGTTGCCATGACAAACTTAAGTAATTTTTCGATGCACATTTTGGAGAATTACGTTCCGAAGTTTTTCTTTCTTAGTATTAACTTTTATAAATAAATATAAGTTAATGTGCATCTATTACTATTTTATTATAAAATACAAAATTGAATTAAATTTATTAAAAATTATTATTTTATTTATTTATTTATTATTTACTAACGATCAAATTTTGCCCTTAAATGCCGTTTTAAGCAATTTCGACTGTATGTCCAAAAATAGTGATTATTTATTATACCTTTATAAATGAAAAATTTCGAAAATGCAAATTTGCCAGAAATGAAACAATTTTTTGTTACTTAAATTTGACAACTGCTGCCGCTGAAGCGTTTGCATAAATTATGTCCGTTGCTACGGGCTACTTACTGACTCTGTCGTTTTGGAAAATCGTTAGCTACAAATGTTTCAACTGAACTTTTCACATTGGAAAAAATTCATTTAAATTCCTCGAAATGAAATGTGTTGATTTTGAATTGTGCCACTGATTTCGTTATTTCTTATTCTGCTTTTTTTTTTTTTTTTTTTTTTTTGCTTGTTATTATTTATTTTGCACTGTCGCTTACCCATTGAGCTCTCAATGAATTGTGTTTCGTATATTTCCGCTGCTGGCGATTTATTGGCGTGCTGTCGCTGAAGTTGTTGTATTGAAAGTGTTGATTGCTCTTCGGCTGAAGCGCATTGATGTTGTTGTTGTTGCTGTTGTTGTCGCGTTTGTTTTTGCACGCGACTGCTCCGATAATGGCTGAATTGTTGTTGCTGCTGTTGCTCCTGTTGCTGGTAATCAAAGCTACAATTACTGCTATACAAGTTCAATTGAAGTGGAAATTTATGCTGCTTCCCTTGTTGCTGTTGCTGCTGTTGTTGTTGTTGTTCCTGTTGCTGTTGTAGCGTGTAAACGCAGGCGTCAACAGCGCTACTATTCGCTTGTTTGTTAGTGTTCTTGTAGTTGTTGTTGCTCCTCTTGCTGTCGGAGCTAAACCAGCTCGTTAGCCATAAGGATTGTATATCTGTAAGCGGAACAACAAGGGAAAGAACATGTAGAATAGAAGGAAAAATGGCATGTTGAGCATAATAAGCAAATTTCTGTGGCCATGAAATGTTGCCAGATTTGTTTAATAGTTGTTATATTCTGCCGCTTCGCTTGCTTCGCTTTCTACGCTTTGGGTGCATGGTTCGTTCATGCTTTTGTTGTGGTTGTTTTTGCCTTTTTATTTTTGTTTTCGTTTTCGTTTTTATTTTGCCGCTTCTTCCACAAACAGCCTTTTGTGTGTTTCTGTTTTGTTAGCAAATAAAAGTGAAACCGTCTGCGCATAGCTTGATAAAATTTCGTTTGAAAAGCACAGTTCATTCAAAATGAACAACGCGGCAGGTTGAACAATTTGTGGCCAGCGGACAATCGTGCCAGTAGATAGACAGGTGGACGGACGGATGGACGGACGGACGGACGGAAGCACCACCACTTGACGCTTTCATTTCCTTTGTTAGATCATTAAAAGTATATTTATAATACTTATGTATATACCTACGAGTATATACGCATTTGAGAATAGGTTGCGTTGTCGTTCCTGTTATCAGAACAACCATTTTCTGTACCCTTAAAAAGCATTATTAACAAGCCAGAAGGTACAATAAGCAGACAATTCTTTCCGAACATAATACGTTACGCAGCGTATGGAGTAAGCCTTTTTTTGTTTGCCTGTGGCTGGGACTACCACGATAGCCGTGAACATTATTCGGCTTAGAAATACAATGCTGTTTTAAAAATAAAATGTGAACATCAATGTGAAGCACGAAACCATACATATTATATCGAATGTAACATTTAATTTTACTCCTTCTTCTGTGAAAAACACATTTCTTGGGTACAAATTGTGGTCTTTTTAGTTTTAATGCAGAAATTTGATAATCTGTATGTATCTGTAGTACATAAGTATAACTAATGTAGGCTGCATACGCAAAATTCAAGTATATTTTCTATCTTAATTTCCATGCTCCCTCTTTCTTGCTTCTCTTCAATTTTTATATCTAACTCTAATTCTATAACTTAAACCTAAAAGAACTGCAGCATTTCTAATTGAAAAGAATCGAAGTCTCTGCTGTGGTTGGGGTATCCCATCTAATGATTTCTGCAGAAATGTAAAGTAGCGAAGGAAAGCGTCGAGCACTGTCACTGTTGATTGCTATAGGACGATCGCATTGAGTTGTCAAAAATTGAGATGACAAATATATGCATCTAAAACTTTCAAATGTACCTTTTATAAAACAGATTATATGGCCTCAGAAGAAGTCTAAGTGGATGGGTCTATCGTCTCATCCATCGCTTCCCATCCTAACCTACCCTACGTTTATAATCTTATCTTGTCTTGCACCAGCTTGCAGTAACCGGACTTTTCTTTATCTTGCCTTTTTCTTCTTTATCCATAGCCTAACATTTGAGATTCGAGTGGCCTTACCTGAACTTATACTACTTACTTTATCTTTGCGTTAACTAACCTTCCCGAATCTAATCTAACTTTGTTCTTGCCTGACTTTGGTTAAATATTCTTGAGCTTATATCCCATACTTTTGTTGCTTAACTAACCAACCAACTTCATATAGCTTTATCCAAACTGACCTGAACTTGATCCACTTTCACATAATTAGGCGTTTGCACAAGTATTTTCCACACTTAATGTATATATAATACATATGGTTTTTTATTGAATATAAATAGGAAGTCCTTAAATTAGATAGCGCACGCTTCATTGAGTGCCACAAATACTCGCACATACATAGTTTAAACACAGCGAGTATTCACATCAGTAAACATGCTCAATAATTTGCATAAATTGTTGATTTATTGGCCGACGCTGCTGGTAGGGCATGACACAAAAAATGTTTATACAAAATCAAATGTCAAAAATTGAGTTGGTAATTTTTTACTGACGCTTAACACAAATACCCCAATATTTTGCCACTATAAATCCTAAGCGTCACAAACACGAAAAACACACACATACACATACAAGTATATGCACAGACAGACGCGATGGGGCCGTATGTGTGAGCCGATTCATCAAAGTGTCATAGCTCCTGAGTGACTTTAGTGTGGTAGGTGGGTGTTGGGTAGTGTGGGGGCGTTAGAAGGCGAAATCTTTGTCATGTGCTGTCATTCAGACTGGCAGCGAGCCATGACCATGGCTACAAACACACACACACACACACACATGTGCACACATACATACACACGGAGACATTTGTGCTGTCAAGGATGCGGTCGGTTGAGTCACACGTGACGCTGTCAAATTGGCACAAAAACTATTGTAAGTAATAAAGGCGGCAACAAGCGGCATGCAAACGAATCACTCGCTTATACACACAAACACACACACACATACACACACATGCCACATGCTATTAGCAGAGGGACTGCTGTTGTTGTGTGTATGTGTGTGTGTGTGTGTTTACTGGATTTGTGTCGCGTCGGAATTTGCAGGTTGAACATTTCTAATGAGCGGTCATTAGGCAAATGAGACAGGTGACGCACATGGGCACACATCAAACAATTTGCACATTATAATTATTGTGCAGATTGTGCCTTTGTGTGTGTCCGTGTGTGCGTGTGCACAGATATGTGTCATTATTCATCAGAAAGACCGCCACATGTCATTTACTTTATTCAATTTTATTTTATTTTATTTTATTTGGGTTTTTTGAACGCTCCTCCTAGTCATTTGCCATGCATGCTAATAATAATACAACTTTATGTTTATTTTGGAATTGACGGACATTTTTTTGTGCGCCTCTAGGCCCACACGGACTACTGAAGCGTGGCATATTTGTCATAATCAGCATAATCAGCGCCTGGGCATAAACATAAATTTGAATGAGCGCACACGCGACCGCGAAGGCGAAAGCGTAAGCGGACATGGCCGGCGAATATCGAGAGCTAACTGCCAGACCTCTTATCTCACACAGCCCAGCTGGCACTGCATGTGGGTGGCGCGTTGACAGCGTGGCTTCTGTTCCATCCGCCTACATCCGCCATCTACATACTCGTATACTCGTATGTGGCTGGTCATAAATTTTATGCGCGCATAAAAAATGTTTTTCGTTAGCCGGTCACACGCTGCGCTTGAAATGGAAATGGGAGAGAAAAAATGCCTAAATAAATTGAAAGGTCACGTATTGCGTTTGCGGATTTGTGTGCTCAAGTTGCAGGTGTGCCTCCGGCTAAGGCCATATGTTTAGATGCCCAATGTCCCAGCAAATCAATAAACGAAAGCCAAATATTATTGCCACGCCGAAGATTCAATGCTCTACTGCTTCAATTCATTTTTATTTTTTCTTACCTCAGCTACTTGGAGAAGAATTTTGGGTGCTATTTTAGAGAGCTCATCTTATTTCATTAAATATTCATTAATTAAAAAGGAGGATATTATAGACGAGCGACTCAAAAAAAACTAAAATAAAATAAAGATAATATACAAGTATGAAATGAAATTTTATCACTCGATAATAGGCTTATAAATTAACTTTTGAATCGAATATTTTTCAATTTAGATACATACTGCCAGTCTTTAAAGATCCTATTTAACAGGAACCTTTCAATCTTATATTAATATTGGTAATATTAGTTAAATGGTTCACTTTTACCTTAAACACTTGGCAGCTCGTATTGACCATTCATTTTTCTGTGTAGCGTTTGTGCGGCTTAATATTTGAAAATCGACTTTTCGCAAAAAATATTACCCTCAATTCACAACATGCAGAGCTATAAAACCCTAAACACATTGATATTTATTTATAGTATTTGTGTATGCAGCATTGGTTCTATACGTATATGCCTTTAATTTCATTGCATTGTGTGCCAATTTAATTTATTTATGTTGTTGATTTTGCTGCTCGATAAAGCTCGATTGTGTATGCATTTTGTATTGCTGCCGTTGTTGTTATTGTTCATAAATTTTGGCTCAGCACTGAAGTGCATATAAAAGTTTAAATTGTTTTGTGGCCGGTTTTTGGCAAATGTTTTTACCAAAATACATATAGAAATACAATAAATTGTATATATTTACTTAAATGTTTATATATGTGAGCTGTGCTGCATAATAAAGTAATTTGTGAAGCGTCCGAGGTGCCATAAATTAACATTTCCGAGAGTTGTTGTGTGTGTGAAATGTTTCTCTCCACTATTTTGTAATCCTTTTTATGGGCGATTATCGTAGCACCATTTTTGGCATTCCAATAAGCAGTTTTTCAAAGCGGATTTGCTCGACATAAAAATTGGACAACGACAACAAGTTGGGCAGCAATATAAGCGGATGTGCGTTTTTTTTTTGCCGCCTTAGCTGCGTTTTCAATTTTTCGTTTGCCATTCGTACCACTGGGCGCTTACATCATGCGATTAAAGCTAAAAATTTGTGCGTATAAAGCTGCTGTTCTTGCATTTGTTGTTGTTGGGAATTTCATAGATATGGGCACCGGGGAATCCATATTGATCAAGTGCCTGCAGCTAGACACTTGACAATACTTGGTAACTTTTGCTTCGCTGCTTGTCCAGCTGAAAGTTTATGCCTTGTTTTGTTGCTGTTGTTGTTGTTGTTGTTGCCGTTGGCAAATCGACAGTCACAAAAATTTATTTTGCTCCGCACATAATCATTTAACAATAACGAGCAAACAGTTGGCCTAAATGTGGCTTTAAAGCGTTTAATGGGCAATGCCAATGCCAGAGCAAAGGGCCAAAGTCAAAGTCTAAAGTAATCAAGAGAACAGCGCGCTGAAAAGTATGCTAAATATTTGTGGCATTCATTCATGCGGCAAGCTGGCGCTCGAATGCGAGAGAGAGAGAGAGTGCGTGAGAGACAGAGAGAGAAAAAAAGGAAAATAATTCAAGAAATATGCGAACTGCATGCTTTTATGGAGCACACACATATACAGAGAAAACACATTTACGCACACCTACACACGTGCATGCGGGCAACGGCAAAGGCAAATTTACATAGAACTAAGCAAATGTTTACGCTGT